GCGTAATTGTTACACTAATTATGTATGTAATTTTAAATTAAATTTAATATGTGAAATTGTATAAATACATATACAAAATGTATTATTACATAAACATTTCTAGAAATCTACTTCTAATATGTAAATTTATTAGTACAAGATGCTTACTTACCATTTAAGATAATAATTTTATCTATGAAATGTAAATTTACTAATGTATGTAAATATACACCTTTAATAGTTGGTCTCAATATTACCCACTATAATAGTTGTAAATTTACACAAAAATTTTTTACAGTGTATATTCAGAATTTATCGTACATAGTTCAGAGAATAAACTGAGGCGCTTCTACCGATATTATTTTCGTACTATTTTTGACAGTCATATGACCTTTTGCATCTGATTTCTGATAAAAATAAGAAGGAACTATATATGTGAAAGAAAGATAATCTGAAATGCAAGTGTCTGAAAAATATCACCGTTGCTACTAAATCTGTGATGATTCTAAAGTCAAATTCTTGATATTTTAAACTGGAATTTATTTAAGTATTTGTAATTCTTCTCTTTTACCTTTAGATTACGTTACAAAATTAATCAACTACATCATTATTAATAATGTAGACAATGCGAAAAAAATATACAAAAATGCATATCTATTTAAGCAAAAATAAAGAAAAACAATGGACATATTAAATAGAAATTGGTCGTTTCATTTTCGAATAGCCCCATGTATATTATTTATAAAATAAGAGTTGTATGAACTTTTTATATCAATAATTCATCTCCCAAGTATATACTTACTAATGATTGATCGATTCAGTTCGCGCCACTTGCCCGACATCTTCACGTGTAGATTTTAGCATCTTTATTCGTTCATTAAAACTTGTTTATACAGCTATTCAAATCTCACGTATGCATATCGTTGCAGCGACGTGCTCAATCTCGGATCATTTCATATCCATGCATATTTTTTATATCCAAGAACTCTTTTTAGACGCAAAAGAATACACGTGTAGAATATATAAATTATTGCGTTTGTGTTTCTCATTTACTGATTTTTTTGACCAATTTAGGAAAGATTTTTTTAAAAAAATACAATATTTAATAAGAGCTTATTTTTAATTTATTTAAATTTATTATTTTTCTGATCTCAACATTTTAAAAATCACTACTTATAATATTTAAACTTACGAATATATTAAAAAATGTTATTAAAATAAATATTAACAGAAAATATAAAATTAAATCTTCCATTGCTTTGTCAAAATTCTTGATTTTTTTTACTTCTATCTAAAAAATCATTGATGTGTTTGAACATTGAAATAGTTATCTTTGTTAACTATATGTATCACTATATCACTTGTTGAGAGATGTTCTGTACAAGCACTTTGGATTGCAATTACTTTATGATAGTAGTATTAAGGTTTATACTTATAATCCCACATATGCAAATAGTCATTGCAAAGTTTGATGAGATTTTGAAAAATGCGGATTTAAAATAATTGTTTCATCTCAATATATTTACACAATAGATCTATAGATTGTATTCTCTTTAATTTCGCCTGTTTATATTAAAACATAATGCGCTTCTGAATATCTATAATATAAATTATACAAAATTATTATTACAGAATTATTTTACACAAACGTGTTTAAAATATAATGTAACAGAAAAAAATCGGTGATATTCAATAAAATTATTTGACTTTGATTTTCATTTTTATTTTCAATAGATTATATTACAATCCTTGTTTAAATAAACACACACACACACACACACACACACACCACACACACACACACACACACACACACACATATATATATATATATATATATATATATATATATATTATAAATAAGGATTATAGTATAATTTATTGAAAATAAAAATGAGAATCAAAGTCAAATAATTTTACCGATAAAATACCGATTACACCGATTTACATATATATTGGATATATGTAAATGTAATGTCAAGTATTATAAAATCGCGCAATATGTGGCATGCAAAATAAACTGTCAACGATGGATGGAAATCTGTAAAGAGAGATAGTTCAGCGCGAAGGAATGAATGTAAAAGTTTGATAATTCATAAAATATAAGACCTATTGTATTATAAGATCCATGTAAATTATAAAAATATATTTTTATCTGTCTGTTATGTATTGATAAAATTTCAATGAATAAAAATAAAAATCTTGGATAAAGAGAAATTAGAGTTATTTAGGAATGAATCATAAAAAAAAAAACACGAAAATGTATAAATATATACATACTTTTATGTATTTATACATTTTTGTGTTTCTTTTATGATTCATTTCTAAATAACTCTAATATATATATATACTTTTCATATCGCTTTTCTTTGTTTCAATTCGAAATTCAATTTAATGCTCATATCGTAAGTATGTTTCACATACACACACACATAAAACATTATATATAAATATTCTATAACATAAGTGCCTTAGGACTTTGAAAAATAATAAAAAGATTATCAAAAATTACTGCCATTTGTGACTGAATATTAAACTCTTATACGTCGATTTTTGTTCATTGATAAGCTTGTTTTTAGATCGTCTATAATATTTACAGATGTGATACGGTTATTCAACGAATAAATATATAATGGATACCAACTACACTACCTTTCTGTATGTTCGATTAATTTATTTCTACGTGTCTGCTTATCTTGGTGACTCAGCCAAGATTTCATTCTGTATAGACCTTTGTTTTACATAGATAAAGAATACGGAAGAAGATATTTCTCTCAATTATTAAGTGATACCTGTTTAACTTTTCATGTAAATTCTAAATTATCGGATATTTTTTTTTAATAAAAAATTCTTTGATCAATTTGGGAACAAGAGTTTTCCTTAACAAAAATGTTAAACCATTAATAAATCTCGTCTTACAAACTATTGAAAATGTAAAGCTTTTTATGAACTAAATTTTGTAAAATTAAAAAATTAATAAAATTATACTTTTGAATTAACGTCAAGTGTAATTTATTTTGATAAAATTTTAATTTGAAGTTTACAAAGATATTAATTACAAAGATAATAATTACAAAGATATATGATGGAAAACACTGAAATAAATTTATAACAAATTTTTCTTGATTGAAGGTTAACTAAATAATATAACATGGACGCTTTCGAAAGTGCGCAAAATCTACACGTTCCAATCGTGTCTCGTATATACCAAGAGAAAGTGATTAAGACCTTTCCTCTATACCTTTTCGCCGTACGATATTAACTTTTATAAAGATATGTGTTTAAAACAAAATTACTAAATTTTTTTAGAGATTTATTAGAGAATATTAGAGAGAAATATGTGACACATTGTCTATTTTGATATTAAATTTTGTTCTTCATGTAAAAGACTGAATTTTTGATTTTCTTAATACCATATTTAAGGAAAAAGATAACAAATATTAATCGCTCACTATGTGAAAATGAATATCCAAACTATCGATGAGAATGCAACGATGAAAAATTAAAGCGCTCGTGTTTTGAGAAAGCCACATTCGGCGCAGTCTGAATCAACACAAGGACATTGACAAAGCTGTTCAAAATATGATCTCTCTTTTCAAGACAAACACGTACGCGGTCTATAAAAAAATACGAAGGATAATATCGCACGAGACACAAGGTCAAAATCTGCACGTTATACTCTCGTGTCAAAAAAAAATTCATGCATGCGAATGTTTTTTAAAGAATTAATATGTCATCGAACTGCCCGAAAAAAACTCGAATAAAAAGATGAATAAAAAAAATCGACAAAAGAATGTTGAATCTAAACTCTGATTTTAACAGATTTTCGATAGATTTAAAGATTATTTTGACACGCCAAGAATTTCGATAAAACTATTATTTTATGCTTCATTACTTTGTGACAAAATTTTTAATTATTTTGTTAATTTATCAACTAATTTTGTGATATTTTATTTTATTTATACTTATTTTAACAGGATTAATAATACACTGATTTAATTAGTTACATTATACTGAATTATATTAAAGATAAGGTAAGATAAAATATAAATATTTAATGAATTTTTAATAATTGGATAATATTGATTAAATAAAAAAAATATTTTAATTTTTTTACAAACCGGTTAACACACAAAAAATTCTCGAAGCTAACTTGAAGCAAATGCAAATAATTATTATAATTTTATTGAAATGTAAATTTAAATATCTGTGTTCTCATATTAGTAAACTATTAAAGTCTAATTGTGAGCTATAAATTTTATTATGTATCTATTCTATCTACCTATGCACCACTTAGCATTCAATGTGCAATTAAGCTATAGATATTGTAGAACGGTCGACTTTTCTTTTTAATTATATATAAGGCATAATAATTTGTCGTGCATTAAACTGCACAACTGTTATATGCTAACATAAATACAAATGGCAATTTTTGTCTGATCATAAAAATAATATGTTCGTTTGAAAAACAATAACATGATAAGAGATAAATAATATCAATCTACAATCAATGTTTTCATAGAATTAAAAGCAAAAAAAGATTCAAGTGAGTAGAATTATTCCAGGAATGCAAAACTGAATGTGTTTTGAAATCTCTAACTTAAAAATCTCGAACTAAAAAAATTACAGTACAAAGAAAGATAAATTTAAAAACTTTTCACACATACCATATTATTTATGTTTCTTTGGAGAATTGATTAAATTACTACAATAAATGTAATTAAGATTTACTAGTTCGATACAAACTTCGATAATATCGTACAATCCGGGAATGTTAAGCAGTCAGATCAATACTTCCTAATGGCTTTAAGAAGCCTGAAGTTTAGTATCAACCGCATTTAGTCGTATTTGCGACCTGTTGAAGTCCCGCCATCGCTGAATGTCATACGACATGCAGTGTTGGTCGCCGCGAATGTTAAAAATATTATTATATTCGTTCATTTTTATTTCGTTCATTCCGTTTATTTTTATTAATGAGGAGAAACGATTTTTTATCGATTGATTGAATATGACATTGTTACCTCGATCTATGTATATCTCCTCCTTGGTGTTGCTGAGTGGATCCCATTTTTCATATTGGATTTGCATTAAATCATCTTCGTTAGTTTCGCCAATTTCGATGGTCTCCATGATGTCGAGATCGTCTGTGACGAAGACTGATTTTTCGGAATCATCGTTGAGATTTTTCATGGTTTCGGTCGAACAGGAGGAAGTGAAGTGTTGCTCGCTGTTCTCCTGATCTAAGAGATCCGTTTCCTCATCAATAATCAACTCGTTACTTTCGGTGCTGACACTACATCCGATACTGAGAATTTCACCGCCATATTGCTTGGTGTAATTCTCAATGATGTTGTCCATCTTCTCATGATTATCTTCAAAGTAACCGCTCTCCTTTTTCTTCGAGGACAAATTAAGTTCGCCGGTTTCCTGATTTTCATTCTCGTTCAATATAGCGTTCTCGGACTTTTCGTTTCTTGCAACATTTTCATCTACGACCAACGTGCACGAGTCGAGTTGAGATTCTCCACTCGGTGCAACGTTCCGTTTTTCATCCATCGTGTGATAATCAACCTCTTTCATCACGATGTCTTCTTCGTACGTAACTTCCTCGCAATAATGATCGGTCCAGGATTCTTCGTCCCTCGTAGCCTTTTCCACTGTATCCTCTCCCAATTCTACGTCCATTATACAACAATTACACTGGGATTCTTCGTTCTTCGCGATGTTTTCTTCTTTCTTCATTCTCATAGTCTTTTCTGCTATATTCTTTCCCGATCCAGCGTTTCTCAAGCAACAATTACACTGGGATCCTTTATTCTTCGCGATGTTTTCTTCTTTCTTCATTTGATATGGGAGCCAATATTCATCGCATACGTTACTGTCGCGGCGTGTGCAATGTCAGCACGAATGAAGGTGAGAAAGAGGGGCACAAGAGAGAAGAAGCAGGAGACGATAGTCTGATGATCGACATAAGTCGACCTTGTTACTCTGCCGCTGTCTCTGTTATAGGGCGATGAATGACACTAAAAAGATGTAATATTTAAAGAATTTATTTGAATTATGGAGTGATATCGAGACGGAATAACGCGTGATAAACTTCGTAAAAATGATTACTCGATAATTAGCAAGTTTCTAGTTCGATCGTGATCTCACTTATATTTCTTAAGAGATGAAGAGTGACAAGTTGAAGAAGTTCAATAGCGATGGAATGCTTAAAGATAAAAAAGATTGAATTCTAGAAAATTCAAAAAGCAAGGTCACAACCAAATAGAAGAATAAATATACTGAAAATCATGATATTACGTTCTGAATAAGATGCAAATCCAAGAAAAGAAAAAAAATATATATTATATATTAAATACACATTATATATATATATATATATATATATATATATATATATATATATATCATTATCGTAACTCTCTCGCGAAGAAGTGGGAGCTCGACCGAGGTCATAGATAACAATTTCGATTACAGAGATTTCACCAAGACAAATCAAAATTCAATCATCTTCACAGACAATCTTGACTTTTTAACGATTGAAACGATAGAAAAAGTCGAAGACGATTTTTTGAATCACATGGAGATTCAAGAAACGAGGAATGATGGTACTTTCTAAGAAACAACACTTGATTACAGCGCGAAATAGTATAAAACTGATTCTTAATATTACAGAATCATTTATGGAATTAGACGAAGTTATCCGTTGAAAAATCACTGAGAAACGAAAGAGAACTTTGTCTTCAAGAGTGATAGCAGTTAGCTTTCCGAGTGAAAGTGTAACTTTTAAAGTGGAACGTCTCGAACTTTTTATTTTTCAAGGCACTCAATCTTTTTCCAATCTCTCAAGAGATATATAAGAGATAACGATCGAACGAGATCGGACATGAAGACTTACCGACTATCAGTCAATGACTTATACGCGAAGCCACACGTTATCCCACATCGAGTATTATACGCGAACAATTCACGATATACACTGCTCGATACCTAACACGTTAAGAACTCTTTCACAGTGAACCGAGATCACGCACGTCGCACGACACTTACTTCGTGAAGAATCGTCTCGGACTGTCGTTAACTGAAAGAAGGTAACCAATGGAACCCTACACACTACTACGCATCTTCCCCCACCCCGCTACTTACCCCGCTACTACTCGAGTACTAACAGCTGATGCGAAAACCTCCTGTCAGTGACGATGCTAGCGCTGATCGCTCCCGTGGTTGTATAAAAACAACTCTAACTCCATTCATATATTTGAATTCTTTTCGATTCCATCGAAAAACCGTATATAATGAATATATAAACCTTTCTCATTTACATGGGATGCACTTCGCTTGTAGTTGATTTGATTAATTGAGAATAATATAACGTCACGGGATATATCAGAGATACATCGTTATCATCTATATATAAATTATAAAAATTTGAAGATTTAAATTTAATTCAAAAATCGGAGATACGTAACGCAAGAATTATGATAAAAATATTAAAAGAAAATTTAAAAGAATTTTTTTACCTTACGAAAATACCCTTTGTAATAAATTATTTTTTGGGCTAAAACGATAATTAATTTTTAGAGACAAAAAAGGATTCAATCACGTATTTTTCAAGAGATAATTAAAATATTTCCTCAAAAAATTGGGTTTTCAAAATTAAAAATTTAAATTTAAATTGGGTTTTCAAAATTAAAAATTTAAATTTAAATAATCTAATTAACTGAAAAAATAATACACTGAGAATAATAATGATCTTTTAAAGATAGTAATGTAGCGATACTTTTTTAGAATGCGAGTATTTAACTTTAACATATTTTCTGAAGCAAAAATATTGATTTAAGAACAGCTTTTGACGCATAAAAATTGTCTATTCGGACGAATGTGAAACACAAATAAATCTTTGTTTACAAACTATTGTATTACAATGCTTTCTCTTGATGATAACTTGATGTTAGTCCTTTTGCCGAGTTTCGCATCTCACTAAGACTTTCCTTCAAAAATTTATCAATTTTACAATTTATTCGATAATTATTTGCGAGACGTAAGACTCTAATTTACATTAAGGATTTGTAAGTCGATCGATGTGCTTCGCTTCAGTGCCCAAATGCATGGGAGTAAAGTTCAGAAAACCATCGTCATGCTCAAATGCTTTCCCCTTGACCTCTTGTAAATATTTCATGGGATTCAACGATGGTATATAATCTTGCCTGTGGTATATACTTTCAACTTGTTTGAATGATTTCAAAATCTTCCGTGATTCTTAGATTCGTATTAAACGTATTGATAGTGAATTAATAAATAATATAATTTATATGTAAAATATATTATTAATAATTCAAATTACACAATAAATATTGAAATAAGAATGCTTCCGAGCTGAGATGATACAAGATTTATGAAAAAATGAACCGAAAATATTAAGTAAAACTATTTTCAAGATTTTGTTTTTATAACTTTGAAATGAAAATTAAAATATACAATATACAGCATATCTCTGCTTTCTTAAATTCTAATGATATATTATATATCGTCGAATTTGCCTCAATAAAGAGGCTATCAAAATATACATCAAGAGTTAAAAGTTAGTATATCTTTGTTGAAAAAAATAATTGATTATTAACATTAATTATTTAATCAATATTTAACACTCAAGGTTTCGTACGAAAAATCATTCTTTCTTATTCTTTCTCATTTTTTCGTTTTTATTATCATTTCGTTTTCAACCTGAATACAAAACGGAAAAATTACAATATAGCTTTTAAAGATTTCCATAGTTTAAGTCGAATATAAATAGAACCTACTTTTAACGATCAATGACAAATGACATGATGTTTTAACGTTTTCAAAAATTAAATATTGTAGAAAATATTATTTTATAGGTATATTCTTTGAAGAATCGCAGGAAACGATCTTTTCTATTATTCTCAAACAAATTCTATTGTTCTCAAAAAAGCAGTTTCAAAATTCTCTGTTATAACGTGTATAATAATATATTTCTCACGTGTATAATAATATATTACGTGTATAATAATATATCTCAATCTTTTTTTACTAGACCCTTTTTTTATCTTATCTACTGCTTCACAAATATTTATAAAGTCGAATAAATTTTGGAATGTATGTTCAAAATATTTTATGTTCAATATATTTTTCTAAAGCAATAGGAGTCTATTTTCTAAAAAAGCTTTAATGGTTTTTTAGTTTCTGCGCATGAAACATATATTATAGAAAGCACAGAAAAAAAAGAAAGGATAGAAGAAAAAATTATTTTAAAAAATTGTAATTAAAATCAAAATGACGGTAGGATCTAATTAGTAGGAAATGTGATGTACGGGGCAGGGTCTGAGGATGGGGAAATGAAAGGATAGAGATAATAAAGAGAAAGTACATAAAATGCATTAGATTAGGTAAGATAATATTAGATAAGATTAGATAAGAGAAGACCTACATATTGGAAGAAAAGACAAAAAATACACAAAAAAAGAAAAACACGACAAATAGAAAATAAAATAATAGTAGTAAGAGAGGAGGAGAAAAAGCGAAAGAGAAAATAAATCGAAAAAGAAAAAGAAAAGAATATTAGAAAGCGATTATGGATAAGAAAGAATTGAGAAAGAAGAGAGAAGAAGTAGGAATCGAGATACTACAGGAAATCATGGAGAAAATAAGAAAAAAAAAAGGAAGAAAAAGAGAGAAAAAAAATATAAAAATCCAGGTACAATGTTATAAGAGGATAAGGGTAGAAAGAGTTCTGGATTATGTAAAAGGGAAGAAGAATAAGTAGATATTAGTAAAATAGCAAGATATAGATGTGAGAACAAAATGAAAGGAGGTAATTATTGAAGAAAGGAAAAAAATATATATATGAAAAAGGAGAAAAAAATGATGCATATACTGAGAGAATGCAAAGCAACAAGAGGTGAAATATCAATAGAAGAATTTTTAAATAAAAAAGGAAAAGGATAGAACGTAATGAAAAAGATAAACAAGTAGAAAAATATGAATACAAAAAAGGATGAAAAAGGAGACAAAGGATATCGAAAGCTGAGGAAATTGAGAAAAAAGAGATTGAGAAATATCGAAATATCAAAGATATCAAGAATAAGATATCAAAGATATAAAGTGAAAATTGAGCTAGAATTTAAAATTTGAAGTCAGATACTGTACTACACTCAATTTAATTTAATTCTTATAGTTTATTTTAAAAGTATTGAAAGTTTGTTAAGTTAGAAGTAGTGAAAGATCAGTTTAACTTACAATTAGTTTAGATTATTTCGTTTTTGGTTCTATGTTAATGAATTTTATTTTATCTCATTTTAGTTTATTTATTTGTTTTGTTTTATTTGTTTTCTCTTATCTTATCTTTAGATTTACTTTGATGATTGACGAAGATTTAATTTATTCATTTTCATTGTCATTTCAGTGTCATTGTTTTGCACTTAAAATGTAATACCGGAAATCATCCTAAGCCGGAAGACAAGGATTAAGAAAATAAATAATATAGTGCTTCTGAGTGATGTGATGTTAAATTTAAAATACAGAGTCATTTTTTCTTGTTAAAATATGCATAAAAAATTTATGGAAAATTAAAAATAATACACTGAAAAATCCATTGCATTTTATCATGATATGATCAAAATTGAATATGCCGAACTATTCACTTCACATTCACTAAAAAAAACAGTATCTAATATAAATAAAATGTAATCAATTTGTTTATTCTAACATGTAACGGTACGCATCTGTTCTTACATAAATAATCATTACACGTCAAAATTATTGAGATATCTTGAGTCTTTGTTAATCATTCACCGAACGATTCCCTAAATTTTACTATAAAAAAAACTCTGAAAATAATGTGATTTATCAGATATTTACATTCATCTATAGAAAATCAGAAATTTCTACAATTCTAAAATTTCTTTCTTGGATATACTTTTAGTATTTTTCACTCAAAGAAACTGAATAATCATTAAAACTTTTCTAGGAAAAAACCTGCTATGCTATGAACACCTTGCTATATAGTAATAAAATAGATGGCAACGAAAACATTCCAAGATTTCAATTTCATTTGTTTACAAATATTTACGCAGTAGAAAATCAGATACGACGAAAAAAGATTAACAATAAACGGATATGTTATAAAAGAAAAAGTTCTGCAAATTTGAAAAGCTTCTATTGTTTGAAAATAAATCCAGGAGATTTTCTTACGTAAAATTAGCAAAAGAATCTATGATGTTAATTACAAATGTCAAAATGATGTTATTTACAAGTGTTTAATTTTTGGATTAAAAATGCATTGCTTAACCATTAACTGTAGAATTTATTTAAATCATTTATTTAATGCATCCATATTACATTTAAATTATCGCTTTCTTCTCTTTTTGCATTTTTATGTGCTTTGGAATAATAATGTTGAATTTTTATCTCATTTGTGAAAATTCTTTCTCTACAAAAACATAATTAAAGAAAAAGGAAGAGAAAAGATATAAATGCGGTATAAATGATATTTACTCCGTTTCACAAACAAGGTACATCAAAATTTAATAAACTTTATTTATTTTGATTTAAACAGTACAATTACAAACAGTACAATATATTGGTGAGAGACTTCTGATCTTTTTATAAAGATAAGATTTTGTAAAGATTGAATTAACAACAATTATTAATCATTTGGCAAATGTTAAATCTGTTTGGATCTCTCTTGTAGATTATATAACTATAATAAAAAGGAAAAATACAACAAAAAATATAACAATATATATTTATAACCTGCATGTAGTATATACAGAAAAATACTGCGTATGTTTTGTCCCAAACTAGAAAGAAATATCGTTAACATTTATTTATTTCTCTATTTTGTCTCATTTACAGTATTATAACTGAAAAAAATATTTACAAACATAAAAAGTTTCGACATATATCGAAAATAGTGAAAGTAAACATTTTATTATGGGTCTTTCTACCATGGGTGTTTCTCGCTTCGTGAATAAAATATGTGGACTCAAAACTGCTGTATCTTGGTTACTAACTTATTTTCTGGTGAAACAATAAGTGACCAATTCTTCTAGTTTTTAAAGAATAAATTGAGAAATGTTCTTCTCAATAAAATAAACTGTTATTTTTTCAATGTTTTGTAAATTATTTAAATTTTCGAAGATTTTTTTCTATTTTTTTTTACATTTTCAAAGTATTGATAATCCGACAAAAAAAAGTTTTAGAAGAAAAGATTTTTCCAATATAGATTTAGAATAGAAAGAATGACCTTCTAGCACATTTCATTTTCAAAATTATAGAAATTACAGAGAATGATCGATACACAAATTTTCTTTTTCTCTACAATTTTTTAAACATTTCGAAAAAAAATTGTCAATTAGAAAAAAATAGAAATTTAATTAAACATCTGGATGCTAGTTTCACATTTTAGCCACACAAAAAAATTAATCTTTTTAATTTAATCAGAATTGATATGAATTTTAATATTTTTTCATAAAATTCTTGAAAACTCGTTATCAGAGAAAACTGCAGAATTTTTTTGGGGAAAAGTTAGAATTCTATTAATTATTATTTATCAAAATTCTGAAAATGGAATCAATTTCACGGAGATGACGTATAACGGAATATCCAAATAGTGCATACATTTTTCAATGTTATTAGTAAATACTGACAACACAACACACGTCTATTACAAGTAATATTCCTTAAATAAAAATATCTTATTTATATATGTATGTTTACATGCAATCTAATAAGTACAGTGGACAATATAAGATTAGGATAGATATCACACAGTTGAAGAAAAGAAAATAGAAATAATTCATCAGAAAATTTCTCAAAAGTCAAATATTTTCAGTTTTTCTACTTTTCTTTATCGTGTAACAAAACATAAGAAAAAGAATGTATGACAACAGTATGTTTACGATAAATCCTCTCCACCACTAATGTGCGAAAGAGAGCAATTTAATAAACTCTGTTGGCAATATAAAATTGGAATAAGTAATCAACTGAGAGATATAAGGGAATAGAGGTAACTCGTCAGAAAATTTCCCAAGGATTAAACATTTAGTTTCCCTACGTTTCTTGATCAGATGTAACAAATATAAGGAAAAAACTCACAACAGTGTGTTTACAACAAACTCCCTCCATCCGGAGTTAAAATGACTGTGAATTTACGCTTATATATTGTTACTAAATATATAAAGAGAGCGAAAGAGAAGGAGTTGATTTACGCAGTAGAGAACATGAGATGTATATGTCAGATATTACCGAGAAAATGACGAAATTTTTCTTAAGATTATTTACATGATTTTCTAGAAAACAACATTGACACAAATTGACGCAAAATTTCTCTCTCTCTCTCTCTCTCTCTCTCTGTCTCTCTGCAAAATCGTAAGGTAATTTTATATCGTATCACGTCGCGTGTCAGCGGCGTAATATTGATGGCGCTGCTGTCAGTTTAAACACTATATATACATTGACACTTGATGTTTTTACGCATAATCTCTCTTTATAACAGATATATATATACTACTCTTTACGAAAGTAAAAATATCAATGCCAGTGTATGTGTCAATCAGTTGCGTAATTTATTTTCAAACGCCTATAGGTAACATCCAAGTGTTTGGACTGTGATATCGAAAGGCGATAACGTCGCATGAATAATGGAATTTGTGTGGAAAATCGAAACCGATCGTAATTTCAACTCGTTGAAATTCCTCACGTCGATCGTCGTTATTAACCGTAGAGATGATTCTCGCCTATCGAGTTCGCGAAATGTGCAAACTCAGCGAAATCGTATCGGTTTCGATCGATAACGCGCGACGTGGACGATCCGGGACCTTTAAAGTATCGGAAGATGACAGATTAGACGTACCGAATGTCAACTCGTGAGTGACCGTCTGCTCCGTGTTGCTGCTCTGTGGCATGTCACAAGCGGGTGGGGGTGGGGGTGGTGGTAGAAGCGGCGGCTGCATGGCGTTCTCCATTCCCTCCGTCACTCTATCTGTCTCTGTCCCTTTCGCGGCGCACTTGTCACCGTTATCGCCGTTTCTGCTGGACGTCGCGCACACTATCGTACCGGCAACCAACTAGATACACTCGATCGAAACGTATTTTGCGGTAACGCGGTACGCCCATTCGCGTACTCGGGAATCGGTCTCTCGCGCACTCGCCTACGTGTGTCCGTATTGCGAATACACGTACGTAGGGAAGTGCGTATGTATGTGCGAGGAATACACGTTAATAACGGCGTAGAGAGAGGCAGCAGTGCGATTCACGCGCACGGAAGAAGGTGCAGTCGGGACTTTATCGGAATCTACGGGATTACCCACGCTCGATTACGACACGCCCGTGATCCCCCAAGTATATCGTAACGTGTAACGTCGGCTGTCGCGCCGCGATTTTCACATGATCGTTTCGTACACACGCCCGCACACGCACATATCGCCGCGCCTGGACGGACGCGACCGTGTCACTCGTGCACGCTCTCGCTACTGCGCTCTCCGCCAACACCGCGTCCCCGCAGCCGCGCGCCTTCCCCCACCCCCGCCCATTCCCGCTGCGCGCGCACCGCTTCCATTGGCCGTCGCGCGCGCTGACCGCGACTCAGGCCCGTATCGCGCGATTCACGGATCGATTGATCAATCCACGAGTGTCCGCGTGTCGTCTTCGAGGACGAATTTGCTCCACGTGAATTTCGTCGCACGTGAATTCACTGCGCGAGACGTATGTAATAAACATCATGCACGTACACACAATCGAGCGGCCGACGAAATGCTCGTCGTAAAACCATATCGTTTGATACGAAACTTTGAAAAACGAATCCCTGTATTTGATGGATTTGTGTGCCTTGACGAATGTCACGTTCAATTCGGTTATCTTTTTATTCTTTAAGGATTTGAATCGGAAAAACAGGGAGACTGTTAAGCTATAATTAAATGCGACGATGAATTTGGTCCTAATTAACGTTGTTTCAATATTTGACGCGAAATTTTCATGGTTCGTGCGAAAATAGACACAGCCATGTTTCGCGCGATGTTCTTGAATATTTAATGTCGTAATCGATAACAATGCTGGAAAGATTCGCTACAAATTAAATGTATATTAAATTGCAGTGTAAATAAAATAATGTAATTGTATAAAAATTTGGAGAAATTATATTCTCTTTAAATATATATAATCCCCATCTATCGGGTGCGTGATATCACAGTCCTGCTCCGGAGAATCTTGTACAATTTCTTATCATTGCTTTTTTTTACGTCTCACACGAACTAGTCTCGAAGTGTCGGAGGCAGCTTTTAGTATTGTATTATTCCTTTTGATCGAGAAGACACGCGCGAACAAACAGCCGGAATATCTTCTATAATTCTATATCGAGAGGGAGGGGAATTGTGTATATTGCGTTCTCCTTAATTCTGCGTATCGATTTTTCCTTATTGATAATCAAGGTCGGCACGAGGCGCGTTGCATTATGTCCCGATCATAAAATGAGAAAATTTACATCATCATTTGTACACAAATTAGGAATTAGTTAAGTAATTTTGCAAATAATCAGGCAAAGAAAAGAAAGAGATGTTATAAAAATCTATGTACAAAGAGAGAAAAAATAATTATATAAATTAAAATTGTTCTGTATTCTTCCTAGAGCATATTTTCTTTTGCGAAAGTTTTAATTAAAATGCCAATATAAAAAACAAATATGCATTATCATAACAAATTAGACGAGAAAATTTAATTTAGACTCTTTCCATCTTTCCCATTGAACCAAATTACGTAACTTGTATAAAACGAAGATGTAAAGTTATTCGAAATTTATTTAGAAAGAGAACCGATCAGAAAAGTTCCGCTTACTTTCGGTCACCATATATGGTGGCATAACGAAGAAAACATATTTAAAATGCAAATACAATGTGCTTAGATAATTTTAATATCTTAACGAATCTCGAGATAGTTGTCATTGGACTAATATGAATAACTAGAAATTACAAGAATTCATTTCTAAACATTCTACAAACTGGTTGCTCTATTGATCAATCATTTCACATATAATGAAGTTATGATAAAAATATCGTAACAATATTTGATGTAAAACTGTTCAAAACAACACACGCGCTGATAGCGTTAATTACCATCCTGAAAACACAAACAAGGTGGAAATACTTGGAGGTGTATGATAAAATTTAAAATTTTAGATACAAAAATTTTGACACACATGCAACTGAATAGTATGTATCAATCAATTACAATTTCACTAGAAAGTTCATGGATTATTGATGACTTAAAATGATTGACGCATCAATTTTATGCGCTTCTTTAACGAATTGTATTGCGAGAAGTATCTGAAAAAAATTGTTTGAATATACACGTAGATGCTCGAAGAATTTTTCTATCCATGGCTATTGAAATGTTCGTGATATCGCTCTAAGATATCTTATATCTACGACCTTGATGACTCGCTTGAGTGTGAAAATCGCTCCGATCCGGATCAGTAGTGAATAAAAAGCCGCGCGTAACAGAGAAAAAGAAAAGTTCTCCTCATCATCGTGTATAAAAAATGTTCTCCGAGTACGCGCCTTTCACGACGAAATATTTTTATCACATAGTAATTGCCGTCATTTCGTTCGTTTTGTTTAACAAATTTTTCAATTGGTCCTACAGGAGAATTGCTCCAAGTAAGACGAGCGCATTCACGGCATCCGACGAATCTACGGATCCGAGTGAAAGTAATGTCACAGTGAATACTTGTACACCATATGTAATCGTTGAGCAGAACATAATCATATTTGCCATTTCGGAAAATGAAAGTAGGATGAAAGTAACTTAGTTGAAATTCTGCTTAAAATCTTCGAATTATTTTTTAACAGAGATTTTTGAACAGAGAGAATAAAAATGGTGAAGAAAAAACAACATAATAATAATAAAATTAATAATTACATAATAATTAAAAATTAATATAAATAAAAATGTTGCATGAGCGTAATTACTATAACGAATTCCAACGAGTTAATCAACAGATAAGGCTTAATTTTATAATTGAAAGTTTCCATTTCACACACATCGGTTGTAATTAATTTATAATTCTTTTTTCTTTTTCGCGATTTTATAAAAGATATAAATAATATTATATCTAAAATATTTTGTGTCAAATGTGTTAAGAAATAATTATCGATAAAAAGATTGATATCTTTAGTACTGTGTTATTTTTTCCAATCTTATCTACGTGAATTATAAGAGATATTCTTTTGGAAACTTTAAAATGAGACATCTGTATGAAATATCAAAACATTTATATATACAATACTAGGATGTAATTATATTGATTAACAATCGTATAAAATGTCTCGTATTTTCTTATAGAGGTAGACGAAAAGTTGTTTGAAGATGTTCAAGAAGAGCCTGCCTTACCAAAGGATCTCAAGCACATACCATATCGGTATATCCGGCTGCCCGAAAAGGAAATGTTGTCTCGGGCATCAGAATTTTATCAAATAGCAGCCGCAAGACGTACCTTAAGATACTTTAGCGCGAATCCCGTTCCAAAAGAAGTTATTCGCGAAATTATAAGGGCTGCAGGTATTTGCGTGATATCTTGAATCACATTTCCCTCAAATACAATATCAATATCACATAATTGGAAAATATATTAAACATTTCTTTCAAGGTATAAATCGTGCAAAACTTGTAAATGAAAATAAATAAAGTAGTTTATAAGATTTCTTTAGAGAATATTTTCCTTTTCTTTGAAAATAAAAATTTTGAATTAAAGTTTTTTTGGCATCATCGATTCATTAAAAACTTGAACTTGAACTTTTATATTTAAATTCGCATCTCATTTCTTTCAAGTAACACACACATATACACATACACATATTATTTAGGTACTGCTCCCAGCGGCGCGCATACAGAACCATGGAGCTTTGTCGTGGTATCCAATCAGACTATGAAATCAAAAATCAGGAGTATCGTGGAGCAAGAGGAAGAAATCAATTACAGGAAAAGAATGGGCGTAAAATGGACGGTCGACTTGTCTCCATTGAGAACCAATTGGATAAAGGAATATCTCACCATCGCTCCGTACTTGATACTCGTGTTTAAGCAGACCTATGGTACTTTGCCCAATGGAAAAAAGAAGATCCATTATTATCATGAGATGAGCGTTTCTATCGCGTGCGGAATCCTCATTACTGCTATACAGGTAATTTGAATTTAAATAATAATTGAAATATTTTCTAATTGCAAGAGATGAATCTCTTTTGTCTGGAGGATAGGACCCTTTTTACAGGATGACAAAAATCTACAATTTTACAAAATCACTGAAAAATATTAACATAAAACATTAAAGTACATTGATCGAGAAAAGTATTGTGATTTCTTAACATTAAATGTGTCTTAATTAATATAATTAATATAATTTGGAAATATTTTATACGAGGTATGGATTCAAATTCTTGGAAACTTGACGATTTCTTATATAATAATCGTGAAACGCTTCATTTGAAATATAATTGAATTAATTATACATTTCTATAAAAATAGTACGCCGGCTTGGTAACTCTTACATCAACACCGTTAAATTGTGGACCGGCTATACGCAGTCTTCTTGGACGTCCAGCGAATGAAAAACTCGTGTTACTTCTGCCAGTCGGTTATCCAGCCAAAGACGCCACTGTACCTGATTTACAACGAAAACCTCTTTCCGAAATTTTGACTGAGATTTATTAATGGAAATATATATTAATACGAGACAAATATTCGAATGTACGACGCGCCCTATTGCCTTAACATAATATTTGATACTAAATAATCGAGAGAATATATTTCATTGTATACTTTCTTATTATTTAAATGGACACATCGAAAATAGGAATGTCTGAAATAAATAGTCAAATATGCATTTATGTTAGCACTATTTTTATGAAAAAATGTTATATTTTCGGATTACTATCTTTTTTTTTTTATATCTTACATAGCAATTATTAGCTACAATAGTAAAATGTAATATTTCTTGTCTTATAAAACATCACTGCCAATATCATAAAGTAATTGTAATGTCAAAAAAAGAGCTAATCCCTGAAATATAGCACCTGTTCGAGTCATGTCATTTATATTATAATATAACTTCTCTCCTTCTTTCTTTCTCTCTCTTGCAGTTGAAATGTGTACAATGGCACGCAATAAGACTGTTCTAAACTTAATAATCCAGTTTGTATAAACTAACGTTTATTCCAATTTGTATACATAAAAATAAGCGATGTATAAGTTTGATCAGGTTTAATCGAGGAGAGAAAAACTTAAGGATGAGTCGACAAAAATTTGAATGATATATAACACTAGTTATACAATTAGGCGATTGTAAAATTGTCAAATTACGAAATAAAATTTGACATTAACGAATACCAAATATCACCACAGTTTCTTAAAATTAAGTACATTTAATATATAAAATATAAAAATACTGGGCTAAATGTGTGACGAAGAACATATAATCTTTCTGCGAGTGTGCTGCAAGTCTGCGTATGACAGCTATGTCACTACTAATAGTTACCTCATTAAGTGTAAAAGCTTTAGAGTATCATGATACATACAGAGAAACAGAGATAATATTTTACTTTTATCACTATTCATGGAACAAATACTATTAATATCATGATTTTCTAGAATAAATTTTTTCGTTTCCATATCTTTTTCTTTTTTTTTTCTTTCCTATGAAACTTGGTTTCCTACCAAGTCGATAGCGCGAGGAGCTAAGAGTTAGTGTGAAAACTCGAGATCGCCAAATTTATCGTTAAATTTAAGCAATTGTAAAAGTTCTGAATGCAAATGAAATATTTTAAATATATTATTGACTAAGAGTAGAATAGTCTATATAGAACTAGGAGAGTATTGTCCTATTTAACGATCTTCGACTAAACCTCTTATAGTTCGTTTGTTAGTAATATCGCTATAAACGTGTATATATACATATGTATGTATATATTTATATATATGTATATGTATGTGTCAGTTCGTAAAATGAGCAAAAAATACACTTTGTTCGGTACGAATGTAAAATCTAAGATCATCGGTAAATCGAACTCCGTCTTTGTCTTTAAAATTAATAATCTCTCTGTTCGTTCTCTCTACAGAACTTTGCTGACAGTCATGAGTTATATCTTTATACACTTATATTCTAAAAGCTATCTCGGTTAAATTATATAAATATGTGTCTCCTTATACATCTTTATCTCGTCGAGATCACCAGTGCCTGAGATATCTAATGTAGTTACGCTAAACGTATCCTTCATTAATTATTATTATTATTATTATTATTATTATTATTATCGTCATCATTATTATTAACATAATTTTACAGGAAGCTGATAAATCAATGGCAATTTTGTAATAAATAGTAGTCAATAGAAGTCTTTTCTTTTTTTTTTTTTCTCAAAAAGTTTACCGGTGTATGCCGTATAATACTATACGAGTGAGCTCTCGTGAATACTCTCCTAATTCTCCTAATAAAACGACCAAGACGTTGTATGCCGCAGCAATAACAAGGATAGCTTCATGACTTATATCTATATCTGAGAGTGAACTTAATCACGGCGATGAAATTCAGCTATGCATAAGCGGCACGACCAGGAGCCCTCGGGAGGTGATGCAAGAGGCGGAGACAGACAATACATGTGGTATCCACGATCACAGTCGTCACAGAACAGCAACTGATCCTATTTCAGTTCGCCAAACCGTTAATAAGTAATCCAAATAAAACTCGCGTAAAACGCACACAGTATTAATAAATTATATTCATTTTTGTTCATTTTTCTACGGAGAAATTTGCCGAATTAAACTTTTTCAATAAAACTAAATTTTTTTAACGAGTATAAAGTGCCGACTTTTTAGTTAGACTTTTTCAATAGAACTAAATTTTTTTTTTTAACGAGTAAAGTGAATCTTATTACAATTGAATGAGAATTCTGATAGCATTGTAAATTATAAATTTTGTGCAATCCTTTTAAATCGATGAAAATACATTGTAAATTGAAATTAATTGATCGATTTTTATTCACGCGCCTTTAATCATACGTTCACGGATGTAAAGGAGAAAAAAATGTTACGAACCCTGCAAAAGATTGTGGGCATAAATACTTACATCGTTGTCAGAGGTGCCGCAAATGGAGCAGCATTTGCATTCGATACATTGCCACCTGTACTTGCGAACAGAAACGATCATGTTTGCAGTGAATTGCAAACAAGTTGGATGCCCTACAACAAGAACGTACGAACGTCATGGAACACGCATTTTGGGATGGACGAGGAGATCTGTTTGTGGGATACGAGTAGAAAGGTGCCAGGACAGTTATCTTGTGCCGAAGAACAGTGAACTCCAAGCTATTGTTTTTTTTCCATAAATATTATTTACTTTTTTAATGCTTTTCTTTCGATCACAATCGAATCTTTACATAAAAGGAACATAATGCTGTTTGACAAATCTGATCCACACACAAGTACGACTCTACAAGATGTCTTTCACCTTTCCTCAGCACTAAAAACGTCCGGAATAATGATACGTCCTCATGTTTCCGCACAGAATATTTTATTTCATGATATCTGTAATTTTTTTTTGATGTTGCATTTTGAACATATTGTTATTATTTGGAATAATAGGTGGTAAGTAATAGCAGGGCGTACCTTGGAATAGTTCACGTTCTTTCTTGCGCAGCACAATATAAACGTCGCAGATGCACACTCTCCCTCGCTCCTTTTCTTTTGCTCTCTCTCTCTCTTTCTCTCTTGCATTCTCTCTCTATCTCTCACTTTCTCTTCGTCATACACACATACACGCAACTCATATAACGTATATCACATCCTTTTCATATATATCATATATATATATGGAGCCATATATATATTTATATATATAACTAGTGTGATTTTTAAATACTATATTTATAAGCCTCATTAAGGGTATTGCTTAATTAAAACTGCCTAATAACAAGTCTTCAATTTTATATATAACAAGGAGGAACTATATATCTGCATGCTTCCATTGTTTTTATACCATGTGAGTTTTTCTTACGACAATCTAAGGACAATATAATATCAATTTATACAAGAAACTAAAACGTAAATATATATAGTACCCTCTCTATTCTCTGCCATATTTAGCTATACCATATTATAAATGATAGAATATTCTACGTTGTATTTCATATGTTATATGTAAAGAAGCTGTAACATACCTTTGTCATCTATATACTCGAGTTACATAATATATGTATATTAAAATTACTTCTTTAAAAGAAAAAAAAAACTATGAAACTCTATGATTAAAAAATATGTTTGCTCACTAATCATATAAATTATCTCCAATATTTCAGAAATTCAAAATATAAAAAACAGCGTATACACACAGATCTACATATCGTGTAAGAGAAATAAAGAGATTATAATTAATATGTAGCGTATATATAAGTATAGAATGAACTGCATATATATATGTATGTGTGTGTATGTATAAAATTACGATATATATCTATAATCAGCAAAGTATATAAAATAATTCGAGTTTATTCGAAAGCAGATTTAAGAAGCCGCGCTTCTCCATGTGCCTGGAAAAACTCATAAGGTATTACATTAATTTCATATGCGGGATATTCTGTGATTATTCCTAATCAAACGATATCTGTAAGAGTATCAAAGCTCTTGTACAAAACTAAGCTATGTCAGATTTCTACAAGAAGAAGATATAGTTCAAGGATGCGTTTACGTCTGACACGCATCGCGTTTTAAAAAGGTATCTAACTAAAATACATACAGTAGTTAAAAAAAAAACGTCATTATACTCCGTAACTATAGTTTTATCTCGCCTATCATATTCTTTTTTTCTTGCTTGTTAAATACGTGCGTAATAAATATATTGCGTTATTATAAATGACAATATATAATAGCAAGAGGGGGGGGGGGATAGGGGAAACGATTATACTACATTATTAGATCGAAGAAGCTAATGCCCATAACTAAAAGTAATTAAAAACGGCAGATATACAATGGAATGTGAGAGACGTGTTAGAGGAAATCAACAAACTCCGAAAACGCGCGCGATCGCGTTTTTTATCTTTACAACAAAATTCGATACATGTAACACATTCTCTACTTTACACATGTAAAATTAAAACTCTTGTAAAAAAAAAAAGTTAGAGCTCCCCGCTTCAAAGTATCATCTCGCATATGTCCTCACGCGAAAAATACATAAAAATCATTAATAACCGTAACTTACTAATACGAAGACGAACGAAGGTCTCTTGGGTAAAAATTTGTGGAAATTGTCTAAGGGAGAACAAGCTGTTACTCAAAAGACACAGAGTTTTACTGTTCAAACGAAACATTTTTTTGCATGACGCATGTTATATACGAAACACGTATATTTTATATCGCGTATAATAAACGTCTCTCCCATTTTATAAACGTATTCCACACTGATGCGAATCACCCTTGGCTCGATTATAAAAATAAATGTAATGAACACATAAAATTGTTGTTACGAAACGAATATATATATCATAAATTATCATGATAGATAAAACATTATCGATGTTCATGTCAATCTCATCCAGTCAATCTTTCGTATCGAAATTCTCTCAAAATCGCGAAAGAGATATACGGAGATCCTTAGAATTGCACTCTTCTCTTTCATTATCCTTCTTTTCTGTGCTGCGCTCCTAGTTCACATCTCATCTCTCTAAAAATCTCGTAAGAGATTTACTCAACAAACGCAAAGATACAAAAGTATTTACAGACGAATCGAAAAACATGTAGAGAGAAATATCGAAATATGACGCGATCAACATGTCGTTATCTTACAATAAATATTGTTACCTTCATTAAAACGATTCTTATGATTGTGCTGAATATATATAAAGTATATGTATATATATATATATATTGCATCTCGCGTGTATCTAAAAATCCTCTTAAACTTGCCGGTGCGTTTCTCACGCCGTGTATACCTCTTTTCTTTTTTCTTTTTTTTTTATCTTTTTTTTTTCTATTTTTGATTTCCAACACGCAATAACGTAAATATCAGGATACACTGTCAAACAGAAGACAAACACCTCTTCCTCAATACGTGCTCTAGTGGTACTGTGCAACAGGAATTTTAATAAATCTGCGTAAATTTTGCGCAAAAGCAAAACGTCGATTCGATCGTTCGATTTCTCTATTCGATCTATCTAATCACACATACGCACGCACGAAAAAATTTGACTTATATCTCACTGTGATAAAGACTTTTTAGACTCTTCCCGTGCTCTTTTCCGGTTAATATTAGACGCGTTTGAACCTCCGATTTTCTTTTTTTGTCTCTCCCTTAGAACTAATCAGTGAAAATACTAGAAATCACAGCAAATTCGCGCGTAGTAAAGGAATTCTGGAAAATTCCTATTACTCAGATGCGACAAGTTGCACCATTGACAAAACGATGTTTTGTGTTCCTCGCCTTGACTAGTGTATGTAAAGCTCGTAACCGTTTGATCTCTAAACACCGTGCAGATAATTAAATGCCTCTCTCTTTCTCTCTTTAATTATTGCACCCGGGGAGTTGCACAACAGCACAGTTTCTATTACCCTTGGCGGCAGTGACGAAAAAATGCGTCACGCGCGACAATTGTAACCCTATACAACTCAAAAAGTTTTACCTCCTCTTATTCTTTCTTTTCTCTGTTTATCTCAACAACTTAAAGCGAAGATTTATAGAAAGTAACATGGTCTGCAAAACTGATAACAGATCTCATTTTTTACGATATCTTCTAACGGCTACACGCGTACGCGTGATACGCATCAACGAAAAAAAGGCAGGATCCTCAAGAAAATGATTACAAATGTAACAGATAATTCTAAACATCTCGATATTGCGCGATTAACAATTATAGGTACGTTTGGAATATTACGAATAGGGAGGGGGAGGAAACAGCGATCCTCTCTTTGCGTAAGGAAGAGCACGTACGCTTGCTTGTGTCGTAAAATTAACAAGTTACTCAATATCTTTCACGATGTTAACAGCTGAAACATGGAAGTATAAACAATTATAGCGTGAACACGTATATATATATACCCAATAACGCTATATGCCGATATCGGCGCATAAGATACCGCCGACATGAAAACCATCTCGTATCGCTAAATCATCGCTAAGTCACATATCGCGCGTTACGTAAATAAGCTGCTAGTCGCATCTCAGTCGCGCGAAAGCATACTCGAGATATTGCAACGTATGTACCGATCTCCTGATTTGGTTTTTGAGTTGTATCTGGCTAATGTATTCACAGGACGCAGTGCGCGATAGGCTCGCAAAGAGATGTAGAAAATAGTACCGTCCGTGTAGACACGGAACGACTCTTACTGTCTCTCTCGATTCAGAATATATTTATCATCATTTATTATCGTCGTTATCATTCATCCTCATCGTCATCGTCGTCAATCGTCGTCTTTCGTCGTCGTAGTCGTCGTCGTGCGCGGATCGAGTTAATTGTGATTCGCTCTCCTGGTATACTTGCGCTTGATCTTTTCCTCTGGCTTACCTGAGCGGCCACAGTCGCTGCACGACACCAACTCCTCGGATCCCCCCGTCTTCTTGTTCTCGCGAGCGTCACCCAGGCAGAAGTCGCAATACGGGGACGGTTGCGCCGCGGACGACTTGCCGCCGGCCTTCTTCTCCACGATCGGTCCTCCAGCTCCGCCGCCGCTCGCCCCTCCACCTCCTCCTCCTCCTCCGGGGGTGGGCGACCCTCCTGTCACGGTCTCCGCGGAGGAGAGCGACGGAACGACGGTGCTACCGGGCGAGGACACGGCAGGCAGATGATCTTCCTTGGCCGAGATGGTGGGCGACGCTGGAGCGATGGGCGTCTGCGCGGACGTCGGCTGCAGCTGCTGCTGCGATTGTTGCGATGGTTGCGACGCCGTTCCCGCAGCGGATGCGACGGCTGGGGCCGCCGGGGAAGGACTCGAGGTATTCGAGGAAGTAGCATTCTGACGACCCCGACGCGTACCACCTGATCACAAACCGATCAACATACCCACAGTTGCGCTTTGCCGTCATAAGCTGATGAACCATGCACACCGGCTTTATATGATAGATACAAAGTCGTATTTTTTTTTATTCTTTCTCTCTCTGCCTTTCTTTTTCTCTTTTCGTGAACGTCCATTCGTAATCGATTCGGTTATGTCGAAGTGGGCTGAGATACAACTCTATTCTGGTTCAAATACGCAGAATGATCTCTAAAATTATGAAAATTCAACTCAAAATTACAAAAAGACAAAGACAAACATTGAAAAATTTGGAGAACAAGATTGGAATTTAGAAAAAAATTTATTATAATTTGCACTTTGTCGGCTTTAATAAGATTTTTATTTAAATTATAATTATTGTAAAGTTTTATATCGAAAAAAGATTTGGCTGCAAATTGACAAAAATGATTAGGAATATTTATAAATTTGGAAACGAAAATGGCTATACATATATTATATCTGTTATGTATTATTTTACATGGATTGTAAAGCCCACCGTTTAAATTATCACATTTTCTTCAGATAACAGAATCAATTATTCTAAACATTCATAAAAATGTCTAACAAATTGTTACAACAAGGAAAAAACAAATCTGATTATGTAAGTATAACAAAGTGCACATATCAATCATTCCATCACCAGCAGCAAAATCCAAAGATATAACGACGAGATATATCGATTTCAATATATAGAGACAAATACAAACAAACGATTTTTCAAACATATTGGAAACTACAAATAACTTCAAAGATACCTATTTGAATCAACGAAGCCTTAACATTCATTAATAGGAGAATCGAAGCCAAAATCGCTCTAGGAGTAATACATAAGCGTCAAAACAGCGAAGAAAAGAAAAATCTTTACGTTTGTTAGACTCATTCATAAAAACTATAATCATGCTGAAAAGGGAGATACTAATTAAAAGAACTACATATTTAAAAAAAAAAGAATAGTACACAAGACAAGTACACAAGACGCTATAATTACGTTTTTTAAAGAAAAGAAAGAAAAAAAATAACTAACTTTGATGATTCGATAAGATCTCATCTCTCTCGTTATCTTAAAGTATATAGAAAAAAAGAAATAATTCTATATTGCAGAAGCATGCTACTGCAAAAGAGATGCAACACAAATAATTATCGCTTTCTCATACATTAAGATATAAGGCATTCCCACTTGTTCTCACACAATAGGTAAAATATAAAAAAAATACACAAATATATCTTTATAATAAAATGCAAAATCAAATCACTTATATCATACTGACTTGAATATCATTTGATCCGTATGATATATAAATTAGTGATTATCATAATATATATATATAATAAAATTAATATATAATTAGATATATATATAATTAGATATTAGAAAGGCATAAATTTCATACATACATATTTTAAGAAATATAAATTTAAAATTAGAAAGAAGAAGATATATATAATGATATCTTATTTGCAATGCATGCATTTGCAGTACATGTAAAAAAATTTATAAATATATATTAAGTTGTACGGGATGAGTTCTTGGATAAATAGTTGCATGGAGTAAGATTGAAAACAATGGCATAGATGGAGAAGGAAATTGGATCAGAGGCTTGAGGAGCGCGGGGCTTAAAGGAAAGTGAGAAAACTGAGCTGATTTTGGCTCCAACCTGGCTGGTTCGAAGCAGCGGTGTCTGCAACGCTCCTAGGTTCAACTTCGGCAGGACTGGGACTTAGTTCCTTAGCAGGATCACCGGAGGAAGTAGAGTGGGAATGACCGTAATGGTAGACCAGACCAGGTCTGGTCTTATACCGTGCGCTGCATACTGCAAAAGTGCAAATACTGTTTTCCCGCAATCCATCCAATGCAACGTCCAATGATAAGACAGACCTTTTTGTTTAATGGACGATCAAGGGAGGTAATATCATATGGGACATCAGAAAAGCTGATAGGGGGTAACGTGGGGGGACGCGGGGTGGTGGTCAGGGATAGCATTTGCACACCTTCCGCACCAGTACACATCCCTATCCACCTACGAGTCTATATGTGGACAAGCAGTGAAGGAGTTCCAGCCCAAGAAGCAAAACTAATACGATGCAAGGCTTGATGCTTGTACTCCTACAGAATGAGCTCGCTACAGTGTTGAGCCAGTACATTCTTGCTCTGTTATTATTGCAGGTAGAACTAGTCCGAAGATATTTGGGCCGGTGACATTAGCTCGATCGTCAATAAACAGAGGTCAATGTTCTGCTAAAATTATCTCTTTAACGAGCTCTTGACAACCAGACCAAATGTCTTTAGATCATCTGCTAGTCTAACAGGAGTGGTTTCAAGAAGTAAACAGATTGCAGGCACATTCGAGTTAATTCATAGACTTTGTGTCCGGAAATGTTTGACCAAATTAGTAATGGCTATTTTATACTCCTTCAAGAAGAGAATATCAAGTTTGTTCAGAAAGTTATTTCAATTTTTTTTTAAATCTTTTCGTTCTTTTGATTATGCTATAAATGTAATTTAATTCCATAAATTTGCGCATAATAAGTATATAAATAAACTGTTTTTCTCGAAATAAACACACATTTATAAATCAATGTCTTACTTATGTCTTACTTGTAAATGTAAGAGATAACTCAGCTTCAAAGTCAAGAGATTATATGTTCATAATGGATTTAAATGTTAGACAATGATAGTATAAACTTTCAAGTAAAGTTCAAGCATTTGACTGACATAATAGTATTGTTAGTATTAGCTTTTACCCGTTTTATTTTAATTAGAATGAAATGACTATTAAAAATGACAAATGTTAAGATTAATTAAGTTAGACTGCAATGTGTCAGATGTGTCCGATTTCAGCATGGTAATAGAATAATTATTCAAGTTATTTGCATAGAAAGTCTGTATATATCTTTTGATTATTTTTAATCCAATTAATAAATGTAGAAAAACATTTGGAAGCTTAAATATAAAAATCATATATACTATTTATGCACAAAGTTTTGGATATTTGGAACATGTAACTAATCTTTGCCTTGCACTCAGAATCATACCATAATTGCTCCTACTCAAATAAAGAAAAACAAAATAATATAATCAAATATAAGTTTTTCAATTTTTATACTTTTTAATTTTTGTATATGTTACTTTTAATTTGAATGTGACTGATGATACCAGTCAATATGATATACTCTGATCAGTTTTTCTGAATAAGTAATATTGAGTTGTAAGAAAATAAGCAACTTCTCGCATTATGTAGTTACTGTTGTCTGGCATATATAAGATTATTTAACTGTAATATTTAACAATTTATTTCGAATTTCCATTCTTATTTTATATCATAATCTAACTTTGTGTCGTGGTGTAATATATGGGGCACCATATAAACGTGGGATAAAATTAACAATTTTGTAACAAAAAAATACGTTTATAACTTATTTGAAATAAATTTCAAAACTAAAAATAATATTTATAATAAACTAATAACAGGAAGAATAGTCATTTGTAGTTGTATCTATGATTAAACTTACGGTCACAAACGAATGGTTTATCAGTGTCAACAGTGTCGTAATTGGCTTTTTTGCGTCCACGACCCCCACCCTGCATTAGATATAAATTACATTATTTATATATTTATGCAGATTGTCTATAAATTTAAAAGTAGGTATAAATTTAAAAGGATCTTGCACATAAAATATGCATAAAATATGCATAAAAATGCATAAAAATGTATATCACCTCAAGATATAGATTCATTGTACTATATTAATATTTTTTATTTGAAATATTTATTATATCTGTAAATGTATTCCTACATACCTTTGTTCGTTTACCGCCTGGACTATCTGTTGAAGGTGGATGACTACGAGCAGGATGATGGCCACCTCCACGAGTTTTTCTGCGTTTTCTTTTACTACTATAACTCTCTTCATAATCATAATCGCTATCAGGATCAGGTTCTTCGTAGGCATCCATATCTAACATATCTTGTTCATCATAATACCAAGCATCTTTACTATGTTCATCTAAAAATATTCAATTTTTATTTGCAACATAGCTTAATAATACCAATATTTAAATTATATGATTTAAATAATGATAAAAATATTTTTTATGTAATAATTTTATCTGTTATGATACTGTTATAATACCATTAAGTTTTGTTAAATTCTATAAAATATTTATTTCATTTTTTGTTTACCTTTAAGCACTACTGAATCTTTACTATCATCATTTATGTGCGTAACAGCTTCTACACCTTCTGTTCCATCCTCTGTATCACCTCTTGGTCCTCGTTTTGGATGCAGATAGTGCATCAAGTATTGCCGTCGTTTTTTTCGCCATCTTTTACTTGGATAGGTGTAGATTTGACCATGTAACAACCCTGGTAATCTTTCTCTTGAGGACATAAAAAGTGCAGAATGATTCTGTGCCACACCTGTAATTTTAAACAATTTTAAAAATTATATATCATTTAAAAACAAAATTTTGAGATAAATAATTGTAATAATTTTAATTGTAATTGATATGTTGCAATTAATATGACTATTTATAAAAATATAAAAACTTAATTAGTATTAATATAGATAACCTAAATTAATAGAATTTTCTTTTTACAAAGAAATAGTATATTATTAATTTAACATTAAACATGGTATAGAGATATTTAATTAAATATAAATTGTTGATACAAAGTTTTATTCCATCGAAATATTAAGTCATAGAATTAAATCATTGTTACAGCTTAATCATCTTACATGATTTTGCAGAATGTTTACACATTCGCGATAAACTCGATTAAATAAATCAATACTAAACCGGTATTAATATATGATCATTAATTCTACAATAGGAGTAAAGATAAAATTACCATGACATTTAATCATCTTACCCGTTTGCGAATCGAGAAAGGGCATACGAAGACGTCGTTCCCGGCATAATCGACTATTATAATTGGAGGAGTTTTCAATGGCTTCTCTGTAAGCCGTGTCGTTGAGGAAGCTGCAAGTGGATCGATAATTATTTGCGATTGCTCTGCGTGAGACTTTTGCGATAGAACGGAGCTTAGAAATACGTACCTTTCTATTTTAGTTAAATTACTTTCGTTCACCACTTGTATTATTCCATTGTTATTGTGGGACATGGCCGGAGCCATAGCCACCGCTGTCATCTTTCACCTGCCTGATGTCCAGAGTCGAGACGTTATACTCCGTTACCTTGTATACCAGATACTACAGTACCTCTTCTTCCCGGAAGTGGCACTACGATGATCAAATGTCGTGCTCTAATATCAATAAAATCAAGAGAAATATAGTCTCAAGTAATGATATAAATAATAGCGAAAAATATTATTGACAATACGTAAAATATTATTATAAGATGAGTGAGATAGAAAAAATATTTTTTATATATTAAATACAGTCGATTTCCCTTTTATTTTAGGATCACTTCCTCTCTTACTCTCATTATAATGACGCATGCGCAGAATTAAAAACGATAAAACGAACACGAAAAAAGAAAAGGAGGAGAAATCAGAGCAGGAATATTTAGGAGAAATTATCTGAAATAAAAAATTGTAGGGTATAGGAAATCGATTGTATAAAAATCATAAGGAAATCAAAAATATATTTTCGAGATGAAAAAAAAGATACAGCAAAATACACATTTTGCACATTATATAATAAAAATTACTTTTAAAAAACCAACCCCAGAGAGCACAGCCACTTTTATATAAATATTTTTAAATAAGCGATTTTCAGATAATATGTATAATAAAAAAAAATATGTTCAATAAAAGCTATCAAATTTCCTGATGTGTTAACTTTCTATATATTATAATAAAATAAAATGTTTGTACAAAACTGTTTGTAATAAAAATATTAATAATAAAAATACTGCATACTGTAAAATATATACGAATTATATCTTCTCTATATTTATATCTATAAAAAAGGGATTTCAAGAAACATAGTAAATGCAAATGCAAAAATTTGACATTTTATAAATTGCTTTATGATATAATTATCATATTAATCTGCTTCTTATGACATTTGATTCATAGTGTAAATTACATCAAGAATAAAAAATACATTTTAAAATATATATTAAAAAAAAAAATAATTTAGGAGAATCGTAATCATTATTAAGTTACCTATTGAGATATCATATATCTAGAAATAAATAAACGGTTTTTAATATGAGAGGAAAGGTTAAATTAAGACTTTAATTCACCACTTGGATCTCTAGTTTCCTTCATAATTTTCAACTTTGCAATCAACTCTTCTACTGCCATTTCACCGTGCACTACATTGTCTCTTGTTCTTATGTTCACTGTACCAGCATTACGTTCTTTCTCTCCCACAACTGCAATAAAATGTGTATATGTTAGTATAAAAGCAAATTGTATTAGAATGAGAAATCAGTAAATTATTTTTATTGCACATTGAATAATATAATTTTATATAAATTGTTTTACTGAAAGTAAGTTGAGTACATACCAAGTATAAAGTTGAATTGTGCAAGCTGAGCATTACGAATCTTCTTGTTCAAAGTATCACTTGAATCTGTATCGACTTCTACCATGACACCAGCATCCCAAAGCTTCTGTTTCACTTCATAGGCATACTCATCAAATTGTGACACTACTGGCACAACCATTGCTTGTCGAGGAGAAAGCCAGTATGGCCACTTTCCTCCATATGATTCAGTTAATATAGCAATCATACGTTCTACAGAGCCTAGAATAGCTCTGTGTATAATAACTGGGCGTGTTTTTTCTCCATTTTCACTATAAGAAAATAAGTAATTAATATTTAGATATCTGATCAAAACTTATTAAAGTTTCACATTACTTATAAGTTTCATGTACATAATAAATATACTTACTTAACATAAGATAAATTGAATCTCATTGGCAACTGGAAATCCAATTGTATCGTAGCGGTCTGATGGGCTCTTTTAAGCGCGTCCATAAGTGTTATGTCAATTTTAGGTCCATAGAATGCGCCATCTTGAGGATTAAGGGTCCATGGTTGACCAAATGCATTCAGACTCTCTTCCAACGCTTTTTCAGCGCGATCCCAAACTTTTAAACTACCTAAATATTTCTCAGGTCGCGTGGACAAGCATAAGTTGAATGTAAAACCAAAGATGCCGTAAACATGCCGTAAAAACTCAAGAGCGGCTATCATTTCATCTTTAATTTGCTCAACGGAACAAAATATGTGTGCATCGTCCTGTTGAAATCGTCTCACTCTAGTAAGACCTGTTAACGCGCCTGATAATTCATTACGATGCAACACGCCGAAATCTGCCATTCTGAGCGGCAACTCGCGCCATGATCTGCATCGAACGTCGAATATCATACAATGTCCTGGACAATTCATGGGTTTTAATGCAAAGGTCTCTTTTTCTACGTCGAAAGAAAACATATTTTCGGCATAATGTTGCCAATGTCCGGAAGTCTGCCACAATTTACTATTATAAATGTTTGGAGAAATCACTTCCTGGAATCCTCTCTTTCTGTACTCGGAACGAATAAATTCGACCAATGTATTGTATATGTATGCACCACGTGGTTGGAAAAAGCAAGAACCAGGCGACAGCTCATGGAAGAAGAATAATTCTTGTTCCTTTCCAATCTTTCTGTGATCTCGTTTGGCCGCCTCTTCTTGAAACTTTTCCCATTCTTTCAATTGCTTAGTATCGGGAAAACTTATTCCATAAATCCTCTGCAATGACTCTGCATTAGCGTTTCCTTCCCAGTACGTGGACGAATTTTTCGTAATCTTGAGAGCTTTAATCTTGCCCGTGTGCCTGACATGCGGTCCTCTGCATAAATCAATCAACGGGCCGCATTTGTAAACTGTAGTAGTGGGCGTATGTATTTTCTCCGCAATAATCCGTATTTTGAATTCATTATACTTGAACATCTCCATAAGATCTTTCTTTGTCATTACCAGTCGTTCAAACGGCTGTTTCTCTTTGGCTATATTCTTGTACATATTTTCCAAATATGGAAAATCCGTATTAGAAATACCTTTGTCTCCTATATACATATCATAGTAAAAGCCATTTTCAATAGGAGGACCATAACAGAGACAACCACCATATATTCTTTCCATAGCTTCCCCGAGAATATGAGCGCTGGAATGCCAAAACACTTGTCGACCTTCCGCATCATCAAATTTTAATAATTGAAGCTTGCAATCGTATTCTAAAGGTCTGTCAAGATCCCATAATTCATTGTTAACCTTTGCAATTACAGTATTATCTGCCAATCCTTGACTAATATTTTTCGCGACTTCATAAGGAGTTGTACGCCAGGATTGAGCAGACACTTCTTTGCCATCTGGAAGAGTCACAGTTATATCGACAGGAGTTTTTCTAGCTAAGTCAGCCTCGTACTTCTTTTTTAACTTGTCCCACAATACAAGACGATCCTATAAAAATATGCAAAGAGAAAAATCAAATATATCTTACAATATTAAAAATTTGCAACAGATTACTTCAAGAAAATAATCACTATATATTCTACTTGTATATTTTTCTAGTTTCCTCTATTTATTTAATATATATTTAAAAAATTTGACAGCCAAAAGCAATTACATTCATAAAGAAGAAATTGTTAAATTTATTTCTGTAATAATCTTGATTTACCTGAATGAATGAGGGCCAAGGATTAAGTTCAGATATAGACTTTTCCACCACAGCATTTTTCTTCTTTGCTTTCATCGACTTTGTCTAAAAACAGAAGAATCTAAAATAAAAAATCGCTTCGTGATCCGAATTTAAACGATATACTAAGTTACTATATATTATAATGAATCATTCATTAGGTGAACGTATGTTAGATTAAGTCAGGATTGGCATTCTTTACAGGAAATAAGTCGTAAGGTTACGTCAGATTATCGATCCTGTCATTATCAATGATCGGCCATGAGTTATAAACAAAAGACGCGGCTGCGAAATTGTTAGCAATACGGAGTAACAATAGGAACTCGCGCGAGCTTTATTCGTGCAATATTTGCCATGAGGGAAAGCCGGACAGACAAAAATGCATCTTAACCAACCCGAGCATGTGTCCACTTAGTACCGCAGTAAACGGTCCTACAAACGCGAAAACTCGTCAACATAGTAGTCTTAATATCAAGGAACAAAGAACCGTTAAAAAAGCCGAAGTGTATGTAAAGTTAAGGAATTCATGCCTTATCCTCGGACAAAATCAGATTTTGTACGTCGGCTACCACGTTGTCACTCATGTTGAACGTGTCACACGATCGGTCGCACCTGAAGTTTTCTGCTTTCGTTATTGGTAGTTGGATTGTTGGATCGGTATAATGTCAGGTATGTACGTGGTTGTTCCAAATATCACCGACGCTGTCAGCTCGACGTTCGAAAACTACTCGTCCGGAAGTAGCATCGTTTGACCAATCAGAGTAGCCGGCCGGCAAATTGCTTTGCTCTGATTGGTCAATCGTACCGAGTTCGCAATTTAATGTAATACAAGCTTAAAGTTAACGAGGCAAATGTTTTTAATAAACATACATCGTAAATGCAAATTAAACGCGAGCGTGTATTTATAAGTATATTTATGTTTTTTGTTTCTTTTTCTTTAATCTGTGAAGGTCCCCGACATCACATGCCTAAACAGATGGCTCGTTCCAACATATATAGAATTCAGATTTTTGAACACAGTCATCAGCTGCAGTCACGCAACATTTTTTTTATCTTGGCAATACTGCCAGTACTGGCGCTGCCAGGTGTCGGGCACAGTTGGGGGAAAAAGGATCTCTCTCTCTCGGCGCGAGAGACGACGGCGAGGACACCAGCCACGCTTCCATCGTCGTGGAGCAGGTGATTTCGGTCCGAAACCGGGAGGCGAAAGAAGCACGGTCACCGTTTATCCGCGAATAGGTGAGAAATATGGTCGCGTTTGGCGGCTGCACCGCGTTACACTATCTGCACCTCTGAAACGAGACGGACGTATATCGGACGGAGGAGATAGAGAGAGAAAGAAGTGAAATTTTGCGGACACGCATGCTTCTATACTTTCTCGCTCGCTTCGTGGTGAAATGTACATACTCTCTTCGGGTAGAAAGTTTACTCCGCGCTTTTTTTTTTCTATTGACTGAAAGCGGTGACCTTACGCTCCGGGCTGTTTTAAGGCGAACGCGCGATTCAAAACGACACGTGAATAATTTCGGCGAGTTCCGCAGATATCCTCGATCGCACGTCTTAACGTTTCAGGTGGTGTACAATATAATTCCTGTATTAATTATTTCGATAATAGACGCGGGAGATAAGAGAGATCGTTGTATTGACAGTCGATCATAACTACCGGAGGTATAAGATTACATTTGTTATACCAAAAGAGACGTTAGATGTGTTGTGTGGCTGACATTCTAAAGTTAGTTCGACTTGGTCAATGAACTTTGCGGATGCGCGGAAGGAAGCAAGGCGATGAGAGCATATTTTGATTGTCAGTATTATTTCAGACGTGTTTTCACTTATATGTATGCGTATATTTTTCTCATTTCCAGAATGGCTCGTGGACAGCAAAAAATACAATCTCAAGCTAAAGCAGCGGAAAAAAGTGCAAAATTAAAGAAACAACAAGGACACAGCGCCAATGACCAGAAGAAGGCAGCGCAGAAGGCACTTGTGCACGTGTGTAGCGTATGCAAGGTCTGAATCCTTATAAATCTTTATAGATGTCTTGACGCTTATATATATAATTAACAGTTTGTTATAAATTGTTTTATTTGCAGGCTCAAATGCCAGACCCTAAAACTTATAAGCAACACTTTGAGAATAAACATCCCAAGAACGAACTGCCTGACGATTTAAAGAATATATGAGGGTACGAACTTTTGTACAGTGACAATTGGGATAGAATGCAGGAAAAATGTGTTGGAACTGACAAAGTGATATAGTTCAACGTTCATCTGATCATTGCATAGTTTCAGAAAATGAATAAAACCTTGTTAGTGTTTTAACTGATCTATTGCATTCAACAGATTGTTGTGCACAACTCAAACATTAGAGGCATAATTAATAATTTACTTCTGAAAAATCTTGATTTATAGAAGCCAATACTTTTCTCACGTAAGCATAATTGCATATAATCTTGTGTACATTTTTAAATAAAGTTGGTAAACTCGATGACGCAAAGAATATAATTCAATGTAAGAAAGGAGAGAATGTAGCATTCATTTCCTGCTTCTGTTACAAAGAGAGATAATATATAAGATATGAATAACTAAAGAGATTTTAAATTATTTTCTGTGTATATTAAAAAAAAGGCATTTTAAATGCTCTTATAAAAATTATGAAAAGTGTTATGATGAATGTTTCCTCGTTATAAATCTTAATTTTGTACTGTAAATTAGGAAAAAAATAATATTTTGTATCATTGACTTTGTTGCATTTAACTTATATATATTTTAACGTAAGAGCTCACAAAAACGATTCTTCAAGTTACAAGGTTGAATATAATATAGAAAAATCTTAACCATATAACTGCCAATTTATAGTTGAATGTATTGTATGCTCTTTAAAATAAGAACAATGTATAGTTAAATGAAGATATTATTACATAATCCCTCCCTCTTATTTATAGGGATTAAATTTTTATTTCTATTTCTAATCGAGCTTATTACATGTGTATATTGTTTGCATTGTAATGAATTATCTATACCACTTCTTTCATTTTGAACATCTACTAAAATAATGCATTTTTATATACTTACAAAGGATATATGTAGATACTTAATAAATACTATAATAAATTAAGAATAATTGATTCAAATTACATTATTGTATATTAATATAATTGTAAAAATGTAAAGAGTCCGATACATGTGTGAGACATATGTAGTTGCTATTGACTTTAATAAAAAAAAATATTATTCTTGTGATATAATAATTTTAATGTATTTTAGATAGTACACAGATTATGCACATCTTAGACTATTAAATATCTTTGTATATTTTAAACAAAATATATAAATTAAACCAGCGATAAACGATGCGATTGACAGATTTCATATTGAAGTTGTACAATTTTGTTGGATTGATGTAGAATAGTTTTGAAAATATCTCAATAATAATATATATTTCTGGATATATCTTTGATTTCAATCGTATATGCACACAAGGAGACCAAAAATATCTGTGTTTTAAAATTATTTAAACTTCACTTCACACACCATTGTGTAAACACTGCGAGAGCGCGCACACGAATAAATCGCACTTATCATCTCCTTTTCTTTCGAATTATTTTACAAATCACTCTCGCAAGTTACCATATATTGCGTCATGCATTCGATAGGTATATTTTTTAAATAACAATAATAACAGTAAAATAAGATGTATTAATAAAATAAGATGTATTAATTGAGTTTATTATATTTAACAAAATATAAATGTTATTATCACGAGGAAAAATATATAAGAATGAAAAAGTAGTATATATCGAGAATAATTTAATGTATATAATTGACAGTCGAAAAAGAGAGGCATCTGCTAATTATTTGATTAGGATGATTACGTCTTATAAGATGTGAGAACAAAGTCGCGCAATCTTTCATAACTGCTACGATAAGTTGGATCACTTCTTATCAAAATGTTATTAAACTGAATCATGTTTCTCAATGTGTCGCTTAAAACTATACATATATTACATCATATTGAGAAGTAATCCAATGACACGCGACTTCAGTCAGCGAATGTTTTTTACGCACACTGTCGCAATGATTCTTATTTATCACGGTGTATATAAATGCGGGCGATCGCTGTATCGCCGCGACAGTTTTCAGCTTCTATGAGTACAGTTTTCGTATCGATATCTTTTAGTTCGAGCTCCGATTTTGGATTCGTTATCATCGATCGAAAAGAGAAGGTATGATATTTCTTTAATGAAGCAATAGCAGTCATTATTAATGCAATTTCGACTTAACTTATGAAAAGAGATTAATCTGAAGAATACAATTAAGATTTAAGTAAAGTTCGATTTATTTTTTTCATTAGTTTCTATTTATTTTTTCATTAGTCCTAGTTTAATTAAATTTAAATTAATTTTGTATTAAAAAATAGGAAAAAATCCATATTAATACAGCTTAAAATATACTTTTAATTTGCCTATGTAAGATATAATCCAAGATAGATTGAGAGATTTAATCTATCTTGGAAAAAAAATGAATAAAAATTATAAAGAAGAAAGATAAAAAATAAAAAATTCTTTTTTTTTTTCATTTTTATCTATTTCCGTGACATGTAATTCATTTTACATTTCACATTTTATAAAGAGGATTTTATACTTATTGATCCGATTATTACGTTAAAAATTAAGCTAGTCAATAAAAATATATAATGTTTATCGAAAAATATATAATTATGTTTGCCGTCGTATATTGAAACCATAAATAATTCAATGATGTTAAAAATTTCAATCCCTGATTGTAAAAAAATACACACACACACACACACACACACATATATATATATACATATATATATTCAATGAGATGGAATCATGTCATTAATATTTTAAATTTTGTGGTTGTGTTTGCGTTTGTTTTTGACACTAGATAAATTGTCACTTACGTTCTAAAGTGCTCTCGTATTCGAAAATAAATAGAAAATATTACAAGAGAGATGATGGAATTATTTTATGAGAATCTGCTAATAACATTGTAACATGAAGAGACAAATATCATTTTCTCATTTTTGTCTTCAATGTGAACTTGAAGCATGTTTGGCTCAATGAGATAATAACAATCTATATTGTATCGTGAATGTAACAAAGTTATTTACGTGAGATAAAAATTTGGTATATCAATGCATGATTAATGGTAATTAATCAATCCATTAACTTCATTATATATACCTAAGTATTTCTTAAATTTAATAGGTTATTAAAAAGAGAGAGTAATAATCAACAAAATTATATAACAATGAGTCATATATTGATTTTTAAATCAAAATACTGAATTTTGATCTCCAAATTTTTCATTTTAAATAATTTTACATATAACTTGATGACATAAAATAGTGAATTTTCCTGTTTTATGATGTAAACATATCATTTGATATTAGATTATTACATATCTATTGCCATATTTTATATAAATAACTGTATAAATAGCATGAATATATCATGTTTGCACAAACTCACATGTTTGTTTAAATAAAATGAATTTTTCTGTTTTATGACGTAAACATATCATTTGATTAGATTATTATATATCTATTGCCATATTTGATATAAATAACTGTATAAATAGCATGAATATATCGCGTTTGCACAAACTCACATGTTTATTTAAATAAAATATCGGATATCTAGAAAATATATGTATGTATACAAGAATTAAATTAATTCCAAATAATTAATAATAAAAAAAAAACTTGTTTTAATATCCTTCAATTTATATAACACAGAATCTTTCAGCGACATTAGTAGGATATATTGTAATTTCGCAAATTGTAGTGCAATGTTACGGAGACATATACATATAGAATCATGCAAAATATAGGCATGCGGTTGCAATAACATATTAATAACGTTTCGAAAATGTAAGAATATCACAGCGTTTTCGCATTCTTTATTTATTTCATTTGATTCACGTACTTTAATTATATTTAAGGTACATATATGATTGATTCCGCAGTTTTGTAAGATTTCGCATTATTATGGATTCGACGGTATTTCGTACTCGTTCTCACGGTACACCAGCTGAGGGTGTCAAAGATCAATACGCGGATGGCAAAGCGGCAAAAGTCTGGGAGTTCTTCATCGGTGACATTAAGCAACGTACGCAGAATTATCGGGACTTTCTGGTGGGTCTACTGCGACAAAAGGGATGCCATCGAATATTGGATGTCGCTTGCGGCACCGGGGTCGATTCCGTGATGCTGCTGGAAGAAGGCTTCGAGGTCGTCAGCATCGACGCCTCTGACAAGATGCTCAAGTATGCGCTGAAATCCAGATGGGAACGTAGGAAGGAACCTGCCTTTGATAAATGGAGTAAGTTTGATATTTTAATTATTTAGGATTGGAATCTTTTATTAGACGTAAAAAAGAATTTGGAAGAAAAAGATTAGAAAGGGAAAGAAATAAAGCACAAGAGAAAATATTCTTTTAAACGAGAGGAGAAAAAAAGATTGCGACAAACAGAACAACATATACTTTTAAAAGATTAATCAAATGACGTAGAAACTTAAAATAACTTTATGATACAACTTGTATCTGTTTTTCCTAATTGAAATAATGACAATATATATATATATATATATATATATATATATATATATTTTTTTTTTTAAAAAGACTAAATCGAGAGATAATGTGATAACGCAAGATTGTAAGTTTAATGTTATGAACTTCTTCATTTATGGATTTCTCACGTACTGATAACAACTGTTATTATTAATGTATACAATATTAGAAAATAATATATGTATGTATGCCAAAATGTGTATAAAAGCCAGATAAAGCCAGTTTAAAACGATTACAATATCGCTTGAAAATAACCGCCGAATTATTTTATCGCTATCAATGGATATGAAAAGTACAGGAAGGCTTCTTGCGTTATCAGCGAAGGTCAACAACATTTTCTATTTCTTGGCCTTTAACTTCGTGATTTTAATCACATTCGTGCACTAAAACCACGAATAATCTAACCACTGATAAAATTAAAGAAAATAGCAAAATGCTTCAAATAATACAAATAACATTATTTTTTTCTATAATTGAAGTATTCATATAATTGTAAAATAATTTTTCTACAATTGTATATATATTAATATCTTTTAAAATATTAATATACATATATTCTCAGGATTAAATCCTTGAAATATAAATATTAAAAAGGGAAATGAGATTTTATTGATGATACTTAAAGTAAAAAATATTATATAAATTTATTTAGAAACTTACTCTTTTGCACAATCATTATTATTATTTTAATGTTTTGAATTGCGACAGTAATTGAAGAGGCCAATTGGCTAACTCTAGCTAGCGATATTAGTCATCTCATTGGAGAAGGTTTTGATGCCGTTATATGCTTGGGAAATAGTTTCGCCCACATGCCTGATACTTTCGATGATCAGAGAGAACAGAGGTATCAAAAATTTGTTTAATTCTATATAATATTATCTCATTCTATATATATTAGATTATCTATACTTAAGATTGCATCAGTGACTCTCAGATTATGCTTCGCGAAACCTAATTTTAAAAATAATTAAAATCAATAGGAAATCGCATAGATATATTATAAGTATCTTATATAATTTTATCTGCATATTCATAAAATATATTCCATTCCAGGCAAGCTCTGGTGAACTTTGAGCGTTGCGTAAGACCAGGAGGTTTACTGCTTATCGATCACAGGAATTATGACTATATAATCAATACCGGCCAAACTCCTCCCAAATGCATATATTATAATGTAAGTAAAGAAAATGCATGATTATTTATCGTTATCGTGCATCGAATACACATGATTTATCATTATTGTATTGGGAATACGAAGGCTCTAAATCAAATGTTCAAATGCTAGTTCTCTTTTATTTAGCTTTATCGGAATAAATAATTGTCGCCCGTTATTTTGGAAAATTTTGTATCAAAAATTTTTCGTGTCGTAGAGCGAGCATATGATGGATATCAAAACATCGGTACTCTTTGTGTCAGGAAAACCGAAGATCGTTACTATGGATTACATGATCGCTCTAGATAACAGGAATAAAAACAATATCGAGCATGTTAACGAGTTCAGGCTGTCATATTATCCTCACAGATTAACAGTGTTCCGCGATATGTTGACCGAGATATTCAGCCACGGGGCGAAACATATAATCTATGGTGATTTTAAACCACTCAATCAGATCAAGGATCCCGGATTTTATATCCACGTGTTGCAGAAACAACTTTAAAGAGTAAGAAATCGAACGTCGGTGATCCTTTTTTAAACAGTGTCATCGGTTTTTCGAAACAAGCAAATGTTCCATAAGACTGAATGATTAGAATGGTTGGTTAATTTGTTTAGAAACGTATTGTGAATTATTTCTCGATTAAAACAAGTGTTTTTTTATCAAATATGTAAAAAAATCTTAATTAAAACTATCTAATAAATTTTATAATTAAATTAAAAAATTGATGAAAAATGTGTACATATATACATAATAAAAATATACATATATCTATAAAAAAATTACGTATTAAGGAAAAAATGAGAAGAAAGAAATACTAAGGAAAGCCCTATCTAAGAAGAACACCTTCCGAAATGATGTACACGATATAAGTTTTAGTATATTTTTATTATAAGTCTGAAAGCAGCTTTTTTCAATTGAGTATTCTAGCCAGGCTTCGTTCGATGCTACAACTTGATCTCTCAAGGATATTTTTCGAACGATCATTGATGATGATTTGCTGAGTAATTTTTGGACGAATTTTCGTGTCTTTGTGCTTTTTCTCCTTTTCCCTTTCGTCTCTCATATTTCGTTTCTGGTCGACGTTTCAAACAAATGCGCGAATTTAAGAATAGTAGGAAGACTAAATGTTTGCTGCGCACAAATTGACTGTTTTCTATATGTTTCAATCTTATACGTAGCTGACAATGCAACAATGCAATTTCTATGAGGAAACCAAAATCCAACAAATCGTTCAATCTCAACGTTAACACGCTAGTCTCATCGATCTTCATCCAAGAATTGACATCGGAATATCCGAGACACGTGTATCATCTGATATTAGCGACATCGATCGTCAATGATCGTTTCAACTTAAGATTATCGGCGCAGAAATTGTTCTCGCGAATTCTTACTTAAATCCACCCCCGACATCGCTCCCTCGTCGGGGGTTCCGCGAAGCTTTACAGAGGAGTTTCGTCGCTGCGTGTAAAGTGCCACGCTATCGTAGAAATCGAACCTCGAAGGATCGTCGTTTTAGATTTAGACTAATTTTACGTTCGCGGAGGGGGAGGGGAAATGGAAGGACCGAGAGAAAGCGCGTAATAGGAAAGAGAACGCGGAGAAATCAAGCTCGAGTCCGTTCGATTTCTTCGATGTACTTTCTGCGGCACCACGCGCACAACCAAATGATACTCTTCGATTGAAGAAATGACCGAGGACAATAATTTACAAGGCCAAGGATTTGTGTTACAAGTGCAACGAACTGCCCATATAGAAAAATGGACGAAGTGTTATAGCAAAAATCTTTTTCTTCTTCTATTAATATATATATATATATATATATATATATATATATATATATATATACATACGCGTATGTATTTATATATTTATAATTTTTCTTCTGTTCAGTACATGTGTATGTATGTAGCTATTTATATGTATATATAGATTCTTCCAATCATTTTTTTTTTCATGAAATTCGTATGGTATCTATCACGGCTTCTTCGATCGTCGTTGCGAACACTGTCGTCGTCGTATCGAATTTTTCCATATTTAAGATTTCCAAGATCGTACGCGGCAATCGTAACATGCTACTTAGCGTGTCGCGACTGTATACATAATATAACATAATGCTAATATGCATAAATTATACCGTTTCAAAGCTTATTTTAATCTCTACCATTGCATGATAAAAAAATAATCTGAAATTTGAATCACCATTGTTTTTATGCGATGTAAATTAAAGTATATTTACATGGAGAAAGATGTGTATCTGATATACATATCACTGATAAACGCACTGGGTAACGATAATAAAAACATTTACATTTCATTTTGATAAAGTTCTTTCACTTAATCTAAAATATTTAAAAAAAATAATAATAATAATATGACGCACAATATATTAATCTGCTTTTGATGATCAAAGATAAAGCAGAACTTTCGCAGCAACTTTCGAATGCGGACTTGTATAAATGCATGCCGTGTAATAACTTGTAACGAGTCGCGAAAATTGACTTGAAACTTTGTTTCAACGACTATGTAAAGTCAAGGACGACGACTCGTGTTACGACGTTGTTATTCGAATGGTGATTATTTGTATTATTGCAAAGTAGCTGATATAAAAAATCGTAATATCGTATTGCATTTATATTCTCTCGATTTTACTTCCAATGACAATCTGCCCAGTAAAAGCTGTGAATCATGAGATGATCATTCTCACAAGGAGAACTTAACTATTTTTTAACATTTTTAAGTATTATAAATCACTTATATATATACTTTTCATTTTTATTATATTTTCTGTATGATTTCCTAACGCGTAAGATGAAATTAAAGAAGAAATTAAAGATATAGATTGAGCGAAAATTATTGCCGCAAGTAAAATTAAAATGTATTTGGTCAGGGCAGATCGCGCAAACAGAGAGAACTATTTCTTTTTACAACTATATTCACTTATTGTTATGTACGCCTTTTCTCGCTTCTCTCTCGCCATTTTTCTTTTTACAAAACTGTGCGCAATATTTAACGAGCAATCCTTCATCGGATTTTATATACTTTTATTTAAGATATAAATTGCTTATTTCATGTACTTAATATTTATGAAAAGCGGTATCACATATGCCCTATTAAGGACTTAACAAAATTAATTTATTTAGCCTTGAAGAGCACAATGGAGATCGGTAATAATTTTCATTCCATTTAAATGTCAATAACTCGATGACTCTCTAATGCGGCTTCATAAAATTTCAATAATTTAAAAGCGATCATTTTATTCCAACATATTAATTCTTTCATTATTCATCATCTTTATTTAATTTTACATCGTAGACTCATATGTGATCTTCAGGATTAACAGGGATTACTGTTTCTGACCTGTCGAAGGTGATATTGCTTCGTTAAATTCTGCCACGCATTAATACGGATTAATTAGCAAACTTTCACTCGTATGTAATTGAAGTTTCACATATACGCGTCTTCTTTCTTCTTCCACAGCCGCAAACCTCGTGTCGTTGTTCCAGTATGAAATATGTATTTGTTACACACTTGCAATTCGTTGGATTGTATCTCGCCGTATATATCTCGCGGTGAAGAGATAGAAGTCGCGAAACATTTTGAGTAGACCGGCCTTTCGATCAATGAACAACAATCTTTTAAGCAATGAGGTGCGGAATTAAAGCCATTCGGGTTCGCATCGCGTACGTTTCCATGTTTTCTGCAAATTTCCATCGCAACTCTCCATCGTGACGGAGATAAAAGGCAGCTGTAATTGACAAGAGTTTGGTCTCCTTCAGCTTCTTCGGAAAAAAATTACTTTAAAATTACTTCAATATTATAACGTTAGAATTATTTAAATATTCCATGAATTTTATGTTAATGTCTCTTTTTTCAAGATAGGAAGAAACGTAAAATTATTCGACTCTGATAATCGATCAATATTTCACATTTCGAATGAAATTTCTGTTAATATTAAAAACTATTTCAAAATTATATTAAGTTTGATTAATTTTATGACGATCGAGTTGTATTCGATTACGTAGATTTCGATCGTTCTAAATATATCGAGATATGCTCCAGTCATCGAAACGTACGGACGACGATCCCGATATTATGGACCGTATAAATATGTATTGAATTCTCATACATTTTTGACGAGATTTATAATTGCAGAAAAATCGAGCATCTCAGCCCATAATACGACCCGCGCGATATGATTTGGGACATGAAAAAATCTCAGCGCTTTTTCAACATGATCAACGCGCAATAGATGTGAACTTAATCCCTACAGTTTCAACAGTGTTAAACCTTTTTTATTCTCTCTGCGTATAAGTATATAAACTACGATAGAGCCAGCTGTATCGTTTCTGTCTCTAAAATCTATTTAACAAAGTCTTCGTAACTGTTCGATAGTTCATCTTTCGTAACATGAAATTATATATATATATATATATATGTATGTATCTCTATATTTATTTTATTTTCTTGTCCCTTATATTATATTTATATATGTACACGCATATATATGCGCGTATGTATGTGTTGCGTGTGTATGTATACATAACATATGCGTATATCTTTGTCTACGCATCTCTGCATCTATACTTTCGATTTGACCAAATGTTTTTTGTGAGTTTTTTGAGAATCTGCGCCTTTGCTCTTCGCATGGTCATTTGAGAATAGAATAATACTGACTTTTTATCGCGTTGCTTACAAAAAATAAAAGTTAAACTTAATCAAAAACTTAATCAAAGAGTAAGACACTTGGTGTGATACTTATCGATACGAACTAATCATTTTTCTAATCCTTGTAACAAAACTCCAAATTGCGAATAATTCGGAGATTTGTTCGATTCGATCTGATATATAAGCTTAAAAAGACATGTGATTGTCGGCTCATTCAAATATTAGCAAAGACGCCATTCTCGTTTGCAGTAACAGCAGCAGCGTGTTTTAACACGTTTGTATGATTCATAATTAAATGCAAATATATGTACATGTCATATTACAAGATATATACATCTAATATTGCTGTTTGGCTTCGTATACGTATCATACGAATTTGCGTAGCGCCATTTGTGTGTAATACTACTATTGCACGAGAAATTATCTTTTTCGATATCATTTAATATTTTTTTGATGAACTTTTAAACCATTTCTTTTTTGTAGCCATTCGTAATTATTCGTCATGTAATGTAAAAATATTAAATCAACAAACAAACAATAATTAAATAACAAAACAATATAAAATCAGAAGGCATAAACATTGCTAGAGATATTTTTTCATAATTTATGATTCCAATATAATATATGGGAATATGTTATAGAAGTAATATTCTAAAAAATCTTGATATAAATAAAAAATGTAAAAATAAAAGTTATTTAACTTCAAACGAAATCAATTCAAAATTTTCGGTTTTAATCGAAATCCTATAAAGTCATTTGCAATATTTAATAGATTTTATCTTGGATAGAACAAGACGATTACATTTGCAATTCCATTTCACAATTCCGTTTGTCGAGACAAAACGATTATTTCAATTAGTATTTGATTTGGCTGTTTTGCTTTAATTATCCAGTATCATTCAAAATCTCGTTTAATACAAAGAGTAAAAAGAAAAATCGCAAATACATTTGTATTTAAAAATCGAGAATTTTTCACAACCAAGATAAAAATTACCTAACGTGGTGTCCAAAATACATATTGGAATTAACTGATTTTTCTTTAGAGAAAATTATATCGTCGCGCGAGCGCAATAAAGTCTTTATTTTATTATTTTACTATTTGTCTTTTTCTTATTGTTATTGTAATAAATGTTTTTATTATTATGTTGCTTTATGTTATTATTTTGCTATTTGTCTTTATCTTATTGTTACTGTAATAAATATTTTCGGATGTCTTGAAATTTAAAAGATTCGAGGTGATATCTGTTGAGAATTATATTTGGCCAATTTGGATTACACATTCTTAACGATTCTGTTGGACACCACCATCATGCGGAGATTCACTGAATAATTCACTTAATAATTACAAAATATCTCGTTGAAAGAGACAGTTGGCTTAATATCGTGAACCGTTTCGATCGTGGCCGGAGAGGCTTATTGTTAGAAATTTAGCGTGATCGCCATGAAAGAGAGAGAGAAAGAGAGAGAGATGCTACCGCGAAATCCGCTACGCGATGCGTGTGAATCTACATCTGTGTATATGTGTGTGTGTATGTGTGTGTTTTGTGTGTGTGTGTGTATGTATGATACATAGTGAATATACTCCCTCGGAAAATTTCGATGTGTCTCGAAGAAGTAAGCGAATAATTTCGTATTTAAAACTGCATTTATTTATCGTTTATTTATCGCTTTTGGCCATGCAGAATTACTTTATTTTGCTCGAGACGAAATCTTTTCATTCTCTTTCTCTCAGCTCGTCTTGTAAAGCGATTAGCGCGAAAATATGGAGTTCTTCTCATTAATTACGTAATTATGTATGTATTATCAGATGTTACCTTTATGAAACAAAATTATCGACACGTTGTATTCGTCCGCCACTCGGCGGAAAGTCGAGAGAGTCAATTTACACGATATTTCAGTCACGCTACCGGAGAGATCAAGACCACGTAAGATGACTAACAGTTTCCAAATCTTCCAAGCCGCATCGAAACGATGATTCGCCGTCATGGCATGTCATCTTGCACACACGAACGAAAGAATAACGAAACAGTTATTGTTCGATGTAGCACATAGCTTTAGAATAAGATAATCGCGTGATCGCATCACCGTGCGGCAAATTCGCGTTCTTGCGTGATTAAATGCTAAACTAACAAGCGTATCGGACGATGAACCTTCAACCGCGTCGCGGCGGATTGTTTCGAAAAAAAGGGGAAAAAAAGAGATAATGCGACGCGAGAAGAACTTTCACAAATACTCCCTCGGTCTGGGCGGCGGTCTCTTACGCTCGGACCTTTCGGCAGTCCGGTCGGCAGAGCTCCTATCGGTCGGTCCACCTCCGGTTGAATCCCGGTCATCGGTACACTCGAGCATCTGCGTGGTCTCCGTGATCTCTGTTGGGCTCATCGGTTGCGTAGCGAGTGGTGCGAGCGGCGCCGCGCCCTTATTGCGCGACTTGCTGCGTCGCTTGCGAAGGATCAGCGGTCCCAGAGCATTGGAATCATCGCCGCGCGACGTAGAGGCCTGTGCTAGCCGCTCCAGCAGCTCTTTGTTGACATCCCGCGACGACGATGACGACTGATGGTGATGGTGATGATGATGGTGATGCTCCTGACTGCTCTTGGATACGCGCTCCGTTGCCGTCGACTGCTCCCGATAGCCCTCGCTCGGCGTCGTCGACGTCGATGTGGTAGCAATTGACGGCTTGTAATCCGCGGTCTGTGTCGCAGATTGGACCAACGTCACTGCGCTCGGGGTGACGGGCGGCTGATTCTGGATGGCACCGTTACCGCCCAAGGCAAAGTTCCCGGAGATCTTCTGAGATGGCTGAGAAGCACCACCGGATGGCGATGTTCCCGCGGCTGGTAGCCTGTTCATCAGCGCTTGCAACATGTCCTCGATCTTGGCCAGCCTTTGATTCACCCTCTGCACCTCCAGTTTCAGGTCCACTTTCACTTCTAGCACCGCCGCGAGAATCTCTCGCTCGTGGCTCGGCTGATGCGTGATCAGACCACCGTCATAGCTCTCCAGGCGTCGCAGCTGCAGCTGCTTCGAGTCCACGACGAGGGTCTGTTGTTGTTGTTGTTGCGTCTGCTGCTGTTGTTGAGCATCCTTTGAATTTTCAACGTTATCGCTAACCTCTTCAATTGTGCCTCCCAACTTGCCAAGCTTCGGGAAGACTTTGTTGGTGGCGACGCTGGAACTTGGACGCGAATCTCTCGTGCTGAGAGACCGCTTGAACGTGTCACCAGCCGTGCCCGATTCACTGCCAGAATCTAAACTCGAGCTACCTGCAACATTATAAATTTTTTGCATAGATTTTAATCTAGAAAGTTTTTTTAACTAGCTTGCTTCAAATGGAGTATCTCTCAATAATGAATTATTGCACAATTTTTTTCAATAAAAAAATTCATGTTACACAACTCGATAATTGATTTAATCGTATCTAATTAAGATTGATTATTGAAAGATTATTTTTCTTACCTAATAAACGGCCCCATTTTCCCGGTCGCGTTTTTGCGACGGTTGTACCTCCTTCCTCGGCGACGGATGGCTTCCTAGCGTGCGACGTTTCGCCATCCTTGGCGTCCTTACCGTCGCCCTTTTCCACATCGGCAGTGTGTGGCCTCTCTCGGCGAAATCTACACGAAGTAATCGAGAGAAAAAAACATTTGTCTTTACTTTTCAATGTAAGAAATTTGTAAAACATATTTACAAACACGAAGGAGAAGATACGATAAAAATATATTCATTATTATTCCTGAGATATTTGGACCAGGGCAGCAAGAATACAAATGCATATAGAGGGTCAAAAATGTGACAAAGGGGTGCATTGGATCAATCTCATGTGAAAACCTGATTATGTCTATTGTTTTCTCTTTTCCCTTTAATTCTTCTATCATTATTCGTCACGTTTCATTCTCCTTTTCGATCCGCGATAAATCTATGGTGCATCCTTGAACTAGATCGTGGATTAACTAATAATAGGATTATCGCCGTAGATGCGATCGTCTACTATCGACGATTAGAAAAAGGAAGGCGGCTCCGGTTACTGGTTGGTGGTCCTACTGGAGCGACCTACGTTGGTGCGACGTATCTACGGGATCCACGGCGGTGATAGACGACGTTTGGCAAGAGCACAAGGAAAACGGAGAACGTTGGTGAACGCCGACGGTGATAATTTATCGTGGAAAATTTTTTGACAGGGACATATGTATATATATATAAAATTGCTGAATAGTTTATCAAATAATACTTTTTCCTAAGGAAAACAGATATATCAATATATTTTTGGAAAAATCACCAAACAGTTGTAGTTCCTCGAGTAAACAGGGCACGTTCTTGTTCTGCCATAATATATGAATCAAACTTAGGCAGCTTGTGCTAAAATTATTCGAGCTCTTACGTGCCGAAACTTTTAATTCGTCTGAAATCGCTCGGATTACAATCTCGTAGTACAAAATCTTAAGAAGAACTTTTAGTAAGTTTTATATTTTTTTCGAATTTATCATTGATCTGCATTAACAGCGAACACCATAATGCTTCGCTTCTTCGACAGATACGATGCTGTTAACAATTGAAAATATTACAAAATTATATGAATTATATGAAAAGTACAACGTTTTTAACAAATAAATCGCGCATTTGTTATATATTCAAAAATTTCAGACCATTTTATTTGACATAATAAATTTCTCTATGCTTGATATGTAGAGTTATATTAATTTAATATAATACACTTATATGAATAATTTTCAATGACTAATATATTCGTCTTTCTAAAAAAAGAGTTGTGTTAGATTAAAAAACATAAATAAAATAACAAGTTAATAAAAAGTTACTAATATTTGAGATAATGTAATATAAATCTTGATAAATACTATTAAAAAGTTATATTTAACTCTCTTAAAAAGCATATCGCGGTACCGATCAGCGTCGACCAACGTTTCGATGTACCTTGGGAGATGAGAAATTGCCCGACAAACTTTGGGAATGCCACATTATCGAACACTATTAAACGTGACGAATAGTTGCATTACAGTTATTAATTATTGGCGTTGTCTTTGTCAAGCGTAAGGTAGCGGAAAATGTTATTAAAATCACATTATTATTATATGCGTCAAAGCAAGCTCGTCCTTGCGAGAAATTGATCGAGGATCAATTTAATTACGATTTTCATTACCCTGACTTTAAAGTTCCGATAGTGCAGTTACTATAAAATTCGTTGTTATACGAATTAAAGTTTCAATAATACAATTCATAATTTAAAAATGCTAAAAACTGTTGCGCGCGTAAAAATACTTTCAAGTTTTATTAAAAGTTTTATAAGAACGAGAATATTAAAGCGTCCTTATGACGTCAAAACTTGATTTTTCCATGCATGTAAATCAATAAGTATATATTGTCTATCATTAAACGATAAAAATGCCTTCCGGCTGGTTGCAATAATAATTATTACAAAGAAAACTATTATAAGTTAGCGAGTATAATTAATTAATTACGCTACAGAGAAAAGTAACACAAGGCTGTCAAGACTCGAGAGACAATTATTAGCAGTGAAAGCACGTTATGTGCGTGCGAAAATCAGGCAACTGAGAATGCAAAAGTTATAGATGTATAAAATTTTTGATGAACATATCGAGAGAATATAAAAAAGGCAAAAGACTGTAAATCGCAAACGTAGCGTGATGTTTGCTTTTAATTTCTTCTCTGGCATTCCGGTAGTTTCTCGGGCACAGCTGCATCACAGTAATTTACATATGTTTGTATATATACATACTTGTAAAAATACTCACAAATATATTTTATATAAGAGAAAAAGAAGTCGGAATCCTAGAGTGTGTGTATTCGTCGCATGCACTTTGCATAAGAATCGAAGAAGATCAGATGCTCGTTTAAACACGTCAGGATTTCGGCAACTTCTCACCCCAATATTGCGAATATATATTTAATTAATATTTAATATAATTACACTCGTAATTTTAGACTATTTGAATGAGATATTGTCTCATTAGACAGAATACTCATTGGCTAATTTTGTCGTGCTTTAGGTTTATTTTCTTTCTATTTTAACAGATCTTGTAAGAATTGTTTTTATTATTATTATTGTTATATACTAGAGTATTGTTGTTACATAATACGATATCTCGTTCTAACATTGAATTATAAAAGCTGAAAAATAAAATTGCGAAGCTATATATTTAGGTAAGGTGAAAACTATACGAAATCCTGCAGTTTGCTCTATATATAAATATCTGATTTTTAGTTGTAGGAAAATATATGATGTGAAAAAAGAGATGCACATAGCCTTGTAAAGCCGTATATCTTACAGCACTCTAGCATTCGTTAGAAACTGCAATGTGATTGTTAAAATAATGATGACGAGACCGCAAATGAAGTGTACGTCTCGATTGAAAATGCTGCTGGAAGGACGAACAAATCTTTAACATCTTTGTACCTTATTCATGTATAATCTCTGTACATGTAATATTCATTTCGACCAGAAAAGTTTAAATTACTTGATCAAGAACTATCTAATAAGCTCCAAGTATTAGTAATTATCAATTAATTTTCAAGTCTACTTTTCTCTAGCTTTCGACTTTCATTGGTTCAATAAATATTCATTAAATATTATCAGAAAAAATAATATTTTAATATTACTGCAAAATAAAAAAATTCTATAATAATTTTAACAAGTTTTAAATAACGTTCTATATAAATGCGGTCTTTCGCGATGATGAGGTGAGCCTGAACGTTCTCGGAGGAATTTCGCGGTGGTTGATCGACCGCTAATTTCGATTTGCTCGTGTCTCGACGTGCGATAAAAATGTATCGTCGTTCACATTCAAGCGTGTACAGCAAGTGCACATACGTGATACCTTCCGGCTGGCACATTACGGGACGCACATTACGGTATTCGCCGTGACGAATTAGGCGAGGAAAGCGCCCGAGCGTGTGCACGTGTTTTCGAGTGACAATGACAAATTTCAGCTCAAAGGAATCTCCGACCAATCTAGAGAAAATCGCGCGAATTTTTCTTTCTCTATCTGTCTCTCACAAAAGTTTAAATCCAGATTTTTACGCTTCCTTGAGTTTTACCGTTAACGACATAAAATCGCTCGTTTAAAGTCATGAATCAAATATTTGATTTATCAAAATAAGAAAAAAAACGAGGAAATTAAATCGAGTGAAATTTGTCAATATTATACAAGACCATTCTCTGCCACGTATGTCATCTCTGTTTTAAGAGGCAAAAATGCAATTTAATCTATCATTTGCTTGATCACATTATTAAAATTAAAAGCTCTAGTTTTTATACTTGAATATAAATTTTTTTATAAAAAGAATGCATTTCATCGGATATTTTAATAACGTTATATCTTATATTAAAGTTCTATATTAAAATTTTCTTTTCCAACACATTTGCTTAAACTTTTATTTAAATAGAATTATTTTTTATCTATTATCTTTCTCTTTCTCTTTCGTGCGTGATTATTATGTATCTTGACAAATGGATGCCAATTTTGCGATAAAAACCAACTATTTTAATTAACAAAACTCGAAAATGTCACGTGCATCACGCGCGCGCGCTGTTCGTGATATACAATATATATCTGTGAATATTACATATATACACACGTACGAATATTGAAACAGATATTATATGTATAATGTAATACACATTATAATATTCATCGTATACATATACGCAGTGGATATTAATAAAACTTCCATGATCATAATAATAATAGTAATAAATATAAATTCAACGACAGACAAAGTAATAATAATAATAACAACAATAATAATAATAATAATAATAATAATAATGACAATATAATAGTAATAATAATGTTAACGAGATAATAATAAGAGATTGTGAAGGTAGCGAGGAGAAAGGCAAAAAAGAGAATTGAAGAAGAAATAAATATGAATAAGAAAAATGAAATTGCCTAAAACTTGGCCAGGGCGGCAGAACGTTGACGGTGAGCTCCTCGTCGGAATCCTGGTGGGACCGTCCGCTCACGGTCCTGGTCACGCCGATCTGGCCTTCCCCGTCGCTCTTGAACCTTCGCGGAAACAACAGGCCAGCCAAGCAACACGATCACATTCAGCAACAGCCACGGAAAATATAAAGAACGTCCGCGATCAATTCTTTGCACACATCTTGGCTTCACCTCTCTCATTCTTTTCTTTCTTGCTTCTTTCTCTTCTCTCTCACTTTCTCTCTTTTTTTTCTTCCATATTCTCACATAGGATGTTACGCGTACAAGGATACGGAAGGGAGGCAAAGTGATCCATCAGCAGCGCTATTATGTATACTTTCAGACATTTTAAGTTTGTTTACACAAAATCTCACAATCTTCGTCAATGACTTTTTATTATTGTCAAATTTATTTTCGCCAACTGATGTTTTCATCTCTGTTAATTAATGATTCTTGATGTGCACTTTATTCAGCAATTAAATGCTGTGATTAATTAGTACACAGAATTATATTTCAGATATAACCATACATAATTATTTTATATTTTATGGTATATATTTATATTGTATGGTATATATTTATATTTCATGGCATGAAAGATTTTTATAAAGACAAAAATGATAGATTGCGCTATAATTATAAAAGATCATGTATCGTCGTACGCGTGAAAAGTATTATTATGAATTATTATGCAGAATCTTATAATGTCGCAAAGTCACTTATATCTAGACATTGTGTAGAAGAAATTTTAAATGCAAAATTAAATTAGTTTTTTCGCATGCTTCGACAGTTGTCAAAACAGATCGAAGCATATACTTTCAAACAGTTTTATCATTAGTGGCAACCGGAAGTCAACTGCTAGGCTAATGCTTGCAAAATCGTAATTTGTACATCAGAAATCCATTCTATGAAAGTACAAATATTATTGCAATTCTCGAGAAATCAGAGGTTGCATTTTTATTACAATATCGAACCTTTTTTATTCTGCGCTAGTTTCTACTCTTCTAGATTTTCCGAAGATCGAGCATACAATTCTCAGAATGGATTCCTTTTATTTCATCCAAGGATTCGTGACTGGCATCGAGCCCGATTGCATTCGATTGTATCCGATAACTAATAGCTGCTGGCAAATGTTTTCCTACCTCGAGAAGATTTTGCGAACCAGATGATCCTGCGCCTGATCCAACTGCGGTTCGTTCTTCCTCCTCTCGGCCAATTCCTTTTCTCGACGGACATCGGCGACCTTTCGAAAGATGAGCTGCACACAAAATTTAACTTGGTTATAAAAATCTTATTAGTTAAATAAAAATGATACAAATCTAAGAAATTGATATTTAATTATTACTATTATTATTAATTTTATAAATAATTTTAATAATTTTTAATATGAACATATATCACATATTAAAAAATTATACTACATAATAAATAGAATATATTCATCATACGTATATCTATATTATATTCATTGTTTTCTACAATAAATATAAAAAAAGAGTTTGCTCTACATTATTTATGAAATATTCAATTATACTATACTTTATATTATTTAATAACTTTTTAAAATATTCTGCTTAATAACTTTAGCGATTCCTCGTGAGAAAGAAAAAAAAGATCTCACTGAAACAATACTTAACAGTCAAGCGTTTTCGAGCTGACGCGAAAATTGCGTGGAAACAACCGGAGCCGCGTTTCGGTTTCCCTGTATTATGCACGTGCGTCATCATGAATGCGCTCTGTGCACAGGGTCATTTCGCCTGAACACACTCCCTTGGAAATTGCATAATTTGCGCAATTCGCGTCTATCCGCGTTTTCCCTTTGAGCGAGACCGCGCAATTTCGCACCTTTCACGATTCTTTCGTCGCATTATCTATGGAAATGTTTGCGCGAATGTTTGCGAATTTATCTGGAAACTTTCCTGTTATTCTTCTCAATCCTAGGAGATCCATGCGCGACAGGAAAATGCGATAAACGATATATAGCCGACGAGAGTAGACGTGACGTAGACAATGACGTCACGCGGATGAAACGACTATACTTCCGGTTCTCTCATTTTCGCGCTCTTTTCTCGCATTTTAAAAATATTTCATCTCCATAAAATATTATTATCGAATTCAAATTTATACAGATGCAATCACAAGCTTGCTTTATCGCATTCGCGTGACTTAGATTATTTTCTCAGGATTCTTTTCCCTCTCTTCCTGGTATTTCCTGTATATTTTCTCTGTAATCTCGCCCCCGAATCCTTCGATTCGTCACTACCTCACAACCCTTTATTCCGCGTTATTCGAACGAAAAATTCGAGACGATTGTTCCGACAAGCCTTGAGAGCTTCGTCGTCGATTTTCTCGTGCGCGCGCGACGAACGAGGAAAATGCACAAACGTGCATCTCATGCATAAAGCGTGTGCGAAGGTCAGCGGCGCAGGCGCGATGACGGAAGTCGATAGGTGTCGACGCAGGGGCAGGGGCGCGCTGCGCATAACCTCTAAAATCCGCCGCCGAGAGTGTCGAGCCTGAGCGCGTCCGAGTCGTTGGCGCGACGACGACGTTACGTTACGTGACGTGACGTGACGTGACGTGCGTGACGTCGCGGCGTTACGTGAGACGACGCGGGGCCGCCGTCACGTGCGGAGAGCCGTGAAATATCGGGGCTTGTGATCCCTCGACACCGTCCGCAGGACGGGGGTGGCAAACGAGAAGTATATGGGCTGCCAAGAAAGAAGACCGCTCGTCCGTACGAAAGGTGCGTAGATTACGTCGTCTTATCGACGATAACAAATACTACGCCTTAGCCTAATCGCGATGTGCCGAATCGAGGAAAATGTCAGGAAAAATACATGCACGGAGATTCTTACGATTCTAAAGCCTAGATAGTGAGTATGTGTGTAACACGATCCGCAAAGAAAACGTGTGTGTGTGAGAGAGAGAAATAGGGGACTTTTATTGTACACTTTCTTCTGTATAATAACAGCCTCATTAGTTTATTTTTGCACCTTGTGGCAAAATTAATGTTAGATGTAATAAATAATAATTTGTGTAAAATAATTGTTGCAAGAGAAATGTACGCTGCTGACATAGTTTTGTGATGTAGGCTCGCAGAATTAATTTATATATTTAGAAAGCATTATAATTTATGATTAGAAAGATGAAATTAATAGAAGAGTTACTTTTGAAGTAGACAGAGTGATTAATGTTATGCTATTTTATACGATTGTTCCAGATGGGTCATGGATCGAGTCGTTCCGCTTCATCAGCGAATATTCTTTCTGCGGAGGAGTTAACACTAGTGGAGAACCTCTTTAAATCCATGTCCCGCAGCTCGGGCTCCATTAAACGCGAAGATATATTCAAACACTGGTCGACTCACTTGGACGACGTATTGCTACAGTTTGTGGTACGATTTCTTTGCCATGAACCTGGCAAAAAGGTCTCGGCAGTCAACGGCGAAAACTTTGGTAGACTCTACGTTTTTGCCGTACGTGGTAGTCCCGAGGAACGCACCAATCTGATCTTTGATGGTTTCTCGGAGGACGAGCAAAAGTACGAGATGCCCACCGCTACGTTCCTTCAGTATATTCAAGCAACGATCAACTCTTACTTGCGACTACAAAAGAATTCTGGTAATGCCCATTACCTCAGCTGGAGCAGCATCGGCTGTACCGTCAATACCAGACGTATAAGTATGCGTTCGCGCTGTCTTTGCGAAGATCTGGTGAAGTACGGGGACGTATTGACCGTCGATCAAGTGGAGAATTGGTTTGTGACGGCGGCTACGTTCAAGCACATTCAGTCGCATGTTTTCCAATACCTTTATCTGATTTCTCAGAAGAAGGGTAGCGATAAGAGTACAGGTGTGCGGCTAAACGATCTGAATCTTTTGCCGTTATGCAAGGGTTTGGAAAATATACCGCATTTTCCGAGTATACTAGGCTTAGGAGACGTTTTGTTCCTGAATCTGAGTCTGCCGCACGAGCTTCGTAACGAATGGCGATTTCTGTTCTCAAGTCAGGTACACGGCGAATCATTTTCCACTATGCTAGGAAGGATCGTCATGCAAGGTGCAACGATAATCATACTTCAAGACACAGACGATCACGTGTTTGGCGGTTTTGCCTCCGACAGCTGGAAGCTAGGACCGAATTTCACAGGGAATCAAACTTCGTTTCTATTCAAACTCGATCCGGAAATACTGACGTTCTCGTCGACAAATTACAACAATCACTATCAGTATCTCAATCTCCATCAGCAAACGATGCCTAACGGCCTGCTCATGGGGGGGCAGCTTAACTATCCCGGCCTCTGGTTGGACTGCGAATACGGTACCGGCAAATCGAGTTTGTCGTGCACCACCTTCCAGAATTATGTACAACTTAGTGGTAAGGAAGACTTTAAAATCAAACACTGCGAGGTGTGGGGGGTTGGCCCGGTGCCAGACGTCGAAGAAGATGTACGCGAGGCGAAATCTGTGTTGGATCAAGACCCGACGTCAAAATTAATGCTGGAACTGTCCGGTCGTAAGTTACATAGCGAAGGACTTCGCGAAGAACAAGAGTAATTGTGATATAAAATTTAGAAATCTTTATGAAAATTTGAGTAGGACGAGAGAAAGAGAGAGAGAGAAAAAGAATGCTAACGTTGTAAAGATATTTGCAGATATTTAAGATTGTTCAACTTTTCATTTAATTCGAATAAAATATATGTAAAATTTGTTATCGATTCTGATAATTGTAATGGGATTATATACGGGTATGAGAGAGATATGTATAAAATCTTAATAGTTTACAAAAATAACTTATAGTGAGAGAAAGAAAGAGAGAGAATCTTCCCATTTTACATAATCTTTAAAGTTGAAATGAATTCGCCACGAGAGGCAATTAGAATGTTAACGGAAACGAATTATATTACGAAAATCATTGCGTGAAAAGTTTGAATGAGAAAATTTCGTCTACTTGTACGAATGCGAGCTTTATGTACATTTTTTTACAGACTCATATGTGTGTAAGATTGTTTATTTGTATAATTATTTATCTAAGTATATTATATATTAGGACTTTTGTCCCTTTTTATAACGGCCTGATGTTTCTCGATTCGCGATTGTCTCTTTCGGCTCATTCGATTATTACTTATCGTATATATTACGTGCAATCTTATCACATTGTCTATATGTGTACCTTTTTTATTAAACTTAAAAACTATGATATTAAAGAGTATCATGCCAATCATTGCGTGGCCTGAATGCCTATTGTATAGTGCCTGACAAGTCGTTATAATTGTTAATTTATCGTTCTCTGCATATGTTAATTATTTGTAAACGAATAACCGTGTGCCATACAAATTGCTCTTGTTAAGACTGTATAATCGTGTCATAAAATAAAAAATACACACACACACACTACATATAATGCAAACACACCGATTTACCAGCTATAAAATCGACGGAAACCACCGCATATTACTGTAAGATCTATTAAAAAACTTCAATAAACAATCAAAATCTACATCTCTTTCGATAGAGTTATAATCTAATCATATTCCTTCCATCGACTTATAACAGGTATCTTTTCTTTCTATCCAAAAGACTCACCCGGTGACTCAGGTTGTAAGTCAGGATCAGATTCCTGGCGAAGGAATTGGCGAAAGCCTGGTAAAAATCCAACACCTCCAACAGCCGATCTCGCTTGATTGTGTGCAGATCGCAATAAGTAAGCGCTCGGACGTTCGCCGCACTCTGACCGATCGACGGATTTGTCCAGAAACTGTCGCCGAAAACGTCACCCTTCCCCAGAATCGCTACCACCTCGTCGTCCTGTATGACCTCGAGGCTGCCGGTCACGATGAAGCATAGGGAGTCTATGGACTCCCCCGTGTGATACAGCAGATCGCCGGGCGCGCTATGTGACATGGTAAAGTGCATCGCCAAAGCGCGCAGACACCCATCAGACGCTAATCTAGATATTAACGCGGAAAATACAGTGAATTGGGATAATTAGTAAATTTAAGACTATTTAAACATCTTTTTTCAAATTCTAAAATTAAGAGACACGCGAATGAATTTACCTGAAGGCGGGATGTTCGTTGAAGACTTTCCGATTGAGGTGCACGCAAATGTCAGCCTTCATGTCCTTGGGGCAGTAGTTAAGAACCTTGTCCGTGTCCAGACCTTTGGTCATCGCCCACGTGCTGACAACGTAATCCATGACGCGCTCGCTGAGAGCTTTCGGCACTTCGTGTAGCTTCATAAATTCCCTTACGTTGTTCAACATATCGTGATACTTGGCGGTGGCGGACGTCATTTGCTGGATGATCGTAGTGACGTGACCGAAGATCGTGGCGTACAATAAGGCTGGTCGAGGAAGAGAAAGAGAGAAAGAGAGAGAGAGAGAGAAAGAAAAAAAGACAGTTTCAAATTCTTATTTTATGAATTTTTTTTTTCATCTCTAGCTTAATCAAATCCGAATATAATCGATAATCTACTTTCTCTATATTTACATATTTTTTTTATCTACATTTACTATATTTATATATTATCGTATTTACATTATCAAAAAATTAGAGGAATTAATGATAATATTGTTCATACCAGCAATAATCATCATGCAGATGGTAAAAATCTTCTCGTTGTCGGTCTCGGCCGCAACATTTCCAAAACCCACGGAAGTCATGCAAGTCATCGTGAAGTAAAGAGCAGTGACATACATCGTGCGACGTGACGGGCCGGCTATTAGTTCGGGTGAGGTGCTGGTATTGCTCCAAAAGTAGGTGTACGGTGACTGAGTAACATTGGCCAACTTCCACAACCACGAATACTGTACCCCGTTGTCGGCGTCCGATCTCCCTATCGAATACCTTTAACGCAACGAGATCTCTTACGAGGTCGTGAACGGGATTTGGTGGATAGGAGATTGATATGAGATTGCGAGATAATGTATATTTGGATGCAGAGCGTCACATGCTATTTCCTTTAAGATCGCATCGAGTTAAACTTGATCGATATCTTCTTGCTTCCGTAAGATCCTTCCAAACTTCTCGATCAACTTTAACTGTCAGACTTATTAATTAATTTTTAATATCATTGCAATTCTCCAGTTTTGCCTCCGTCCCTTCTTTCATAATATATAACAATTTAAATGTCGATTTTCGCATTTTATATTTTATATTTTATATTTTAAATAAATATAAATAATTTTCAGCATATATAAATGTAATTAGAGTTCTTTCGGTAACGATATTTAATTTAATGAAATAATTTAAAAAGCGATACAACGATCAACGTTCATTTTTCATATTTTTCATATATTCCCTCTTATATGATAATATGAGAGGGAAGCGACAGATACAGAAAATCAGAAAGACGATCAGAGAATCTGCAAGAAAAATATGATGGAAAATAAGAAATACATGAGTTGTACAGAGAGTTTCACATGCAGTGACCTAAAGTCTATCGCGTAGCACGACAAGAATCATAACGATATGTTTGAGTGTGTAATGTTGTAATGATGAACGATCGTTGTTACGCGAGGTACCGTGTCCCGGGAGGCGTATGTGTTACCTTGAATACGTGTACGCAGGGTAAAATCACCTTAATGTGACGTACCAGATACAGGCCAGCCAGTGAGCAACCAACATGTAGAAACAGAGCAGAAGAATGAGCATCGCGGCACCGTACTCCAGATAACGATCTAGCTTGCGTACGACTCTGCCGAGTCGCAGCAATCGTACCACCTTCAGGGCCGAGAACAGGCTACCTATCCCGTCCTCGTCGTGGTCGAAGGCGTTAAACACATCGTACGGTAGGCAACTTAACAGATCTATGATGAACCAAGATTTCAGATAGTTCATTCTGATTACCTGAAAATATTAAACATAGTTACGTTTGACAACAGCTGAATCAAATGAGTTGATTACCAATTTGATGAACAATTTTCGCAAAAGAAAATGTATTAATTATTTTCACCGTACAAGCTTACAGTATAATAATGAATAGCTTCATTTTTCGTAAGGAAACGTTTTTTACGAAGTCGAGAAAATAAAACCTTCAAGTTTACCTTTGGATCAGACACCACTTCGCCACCAGCACCGACGAAAGTTGTGTGAAAATTTAGCACTATATCGATGAAGAATATCACGTCGACGATACTGTCGACAACCAACAGAGAGACGTCCTCGCTGGTCTTGTTTTTAAACGCGACGTTGTACGGCACCATGATGGCTGTGTAAAAGGTCAAACACAAAATGATCCAGTCCCAGATCGCTTTAAATGCACAATAATGCAATAGGATGTGCGGTGGTGTTTTCGGCGCTTCTTGTCTGTATTGCGGCATAACATCGCCGCTTAAAGACATCATCTGAAAGAAGAAACGTAATACTTTGAAGTATATCATAAAATATACTTCAAATATATGTTCATTTAAAGATATTCTATATTTTTTCACAAGTTATTTATATTGAAAAATATGTGAAATTATCAAGAGAATAAACAATCTTTCACGATGCTTTCATATTGATTTCTTATCGTGTCTCATTTATCTGATATATTTTTCTAACATCGAGTCTGGCTCCATTAACTTTTCACGCTTCAAAGAGCTTTCGAATGTATAAGAGCTTTCCGTGTTGATTTTGAAGAAAAATTCATGCAAATGTGTTCTCGGCTTCCATTTCCCGACGAAAAGTGGAGCAATATTGGAAATACATTTCTATTTTATCGACTTCTAAATGAGACTTTATAAATCTCGTAGCTTCTTATCCATTACGCTAATTATTTTTAAAAATGAAAATTTCTTAGCTGCATTAATATCTATATACATATATATAAAATATAAAATATGTATATTAAAAATGTATGTGTGTGCGTAACATGCACATATAAAATTACACATGATAAATTTTTATGTGATAAAACATTACAGCTTACATGACCCAGATGCGATTGTTTGGTGGTAGTCGGCGCAGCTGGATCTTTCAGAGCCGGCAGATGCGAGCTGAACTGCGAGACCAGGACCGATCTCGATCTGGTGACCGATCTGGCGAGCTTGGCGAATTTGGAAAGGCCGCCTTTGCTGTCGTCCGTTTCGATCGGCTGCTTCAGGGCGGTGATGTCTCGAAACGTCAGCAGGAACAGGACCACGAGGTCTCGTTCGTTTTTTATGGGTGCTATTTGCAGCAGCAGCCATAATGGTGTCTCTGTAAAAAGAGAACGACATTGATACCGTCTGCTCGCGCAAAGATGGCAGAGAAAATAAAATCTACTTTTCAAGTCGTATATACTTTCAAGCACGATCGATCGCAGGAAGATTATCACGAATCTAAGTTGTTTTTGCAGATGTTGCGAGAGAATCAGCGAGTCAGCTGATTATCAATTCGGCTGAAAATCTTTCTGCTGCCGCAGTCTAGATAGATTTATCATGCTACGTGTCCTAGAAGCTAGTTTGTAAATACTGTGCTAGTATAATATATATTATACAATAATAGAAGCAAAGGGGGAAGATGGAATACTAATATAAAAACTAATATATCAATACTGTTTGATGTATCAGGAAAATTTCTGAAGATAAGAACTGCTGATAAAACGCAGAATAATGCTGAAATAACACAATGTAACACAAGAAAAATATATAAGGATTTCTAAGAGAATACACAAAATTTTTCCTCGAGACTTCTTTCGCGATTCTTCCTGCAATATCGCGAATAAAGTCGATAGAAAGTTTTCTTTCTTGCGTGACAGCGTTAAATTATATCCGATCATGCATTATTGTGTGTTGCTTCGAGCAAAAGTCAAAAGCCAAGTCGCTCAAACAAAAGCTGGTTCTCCAGCATTCTTCAATTTCCAAGTTGTCGTCTTCATGATGTAACGTAATGTTTCAACCACGAGCGATAAGTCGCACCGCGCGTTGAATTATTGTCACACTTGTCCACAATGCCGCATGTCGGGCATGCAAGATCGAAGCTATATGCGAGTTCAGACCGATGGAATCCAATTAGGGATTCGCCTACGATGCTTCGCGGCGTAAAGCATGCGAACATGCGAATGAATGGTAACGATAATGAGGAAAATTCGAAGTACGAGAGGGAGAAAGAGAGCACATAATACGCTGCGAATACAGAGATAATGCAGTAGAAAGTTGAGATAAAGAAATATATCGCAGAAGATGCTACAAAAGGCGCTTCGAAAAGAGATACACACTTTCGCGACGTCGGAAAATCGAGAGATTTTCGCGCCCGAGTAGAAAAGTAAATTTCCTGAATGAGACGATATCTTTTGCATCCCGTCCTCTCAACGGAGCGCGTCTTTTACGCATTTATTCTCTCGGGAGTATTCGTTCGACAATACTTGAAACAATCGTCCTTTATCGTGGATTAATGAGGGAGAGAGAGAGAATACGAAATTTGCGAGTACACGTGAAATTTTGGACCCGAGGGACAAGCACATATATAAACGTTTGATAATAATTTTGGTACTATTGTATATTCGTGCCCCGACAAATGGTTTAATTAAGCAACCGTGTAAGCCCGTCAAACGACGATGGTGTGTGAGCTACGTATGAAAAGCATCGACAATGTACATATTCGCCGACCGGAAATACGGGCGACCCTGTTCTCAAGGGGTAGCAAAAAGAGTGAAAGCGTAGCTATGGCTTCAAACCAGTGTGAATTTCAAAGCGAAGCGAAAAAGGCTTATTCGGTATTAATCTTTCGGAATAATTGTGACGCTAGAAAGAGAGAGAAGGAAAGAAAGAGAGAAAGAGAATAAAGATACTGAAATATTTTTCAACGATATAAATTCGTAATATAAATTTTAAGATGAGTTTTTATTAAAAAGACTCTACGCACAATATACCTATTTCTATAATGTTGCATTGAAAATATTGGTTTTATCAAATGGAAAATATCACAGTATCATATTTACATACAGCGTGATTCATTTTAATCTTAACAAGCAAATATTTTGAAAAATATGCGAGATACGAAAAAATATTTCAGACAAAAGTTATATGGTTTTAAAGGAGACATAAAATGGTATCATTAATTTGACCTTAAATAGTTACTTGACGATCATGTGAAGGTCATCCTCAATTTTTTAAATGGAACCGCCTATTTTTTATTACATATTCTTGTAGCTTATCTCGAGGGCTTTCCAAAACACTATATAATAAAATATTTTTCCCTCAGGTACTTTTTGAATTATGAGAAATTGAAATCATTTCTTAATTTTACACAAACCGTAAAATATCTTGTAAAATATTCATTTTTTTATTATTTTACCTTAATACTTTTATGTACAAAATAATGAGAGGAATCAATTGGTGTAAGAAAAAATATGTAAATTGCAATTAACAATTACATATTTTTTCTTCGAAATAACTGTGTTTTCTTTACACCAATTGATTCCTCTCATTATTTTGTACATAAAAATATTAAGGTAATCGAAAAATGAATATTTTATAAGATATTTTACAGTTTATGTAAAATTAAGAAACAATTTCAAGCCTCATAACTCGGAAAGTACTTAATGAAAACTAACTTAATTATAGTGTTTTGGAAAGCTCTCGAGATAAGCTACAAAAATATGTAATAAAAAAATAGGTGATTCCATTTAAAAAATTGAGGGTAACCTTTACGTGATCTTCAAGTAACTATTTAAGGTCAAATTAATGACACCATCTTATGTCTCCTGTAAAACCATATAACTTTTGTCTGAAACATTTTTTCGTATCTCGCATATTTTTCAAAATATTTGCCTGTTAAGATTAAAATGAATCACCCTGTATATACCGCAGGGTATCAAAATTATTTCAATTGCCGCCACATTAAACTTTACGCGAAATATCCCAATTCGTACGCTTGAATGTAAATAGCGTTATTATATAACGTAGCGTGCGTTGTGGTTACGGAAAGTATTACAAATTACTGGTAACAAACGGAGTTACAAATGAAAGCGGAATATAATATAAATAGTAATAAATATCAGGAGAAGAATAACAGAATATACGGGAAATGAAATTCGCTAATGATAATAGGCTCGTTCAATCGACCGAAATGCTTTACTAATGAGTGCTAATATTAAATGCTAACATATCAAATTGAATTGATATAATTTGAGTTTGTACGGTTCAAGGGAATGTAAAATGAAAGATTTTCTTGCTCTGGTGTTCGTCAATGAAATAATAAATGCATCAAACTTGGTTTCTAAATTTGGAGTTCTAATGCATACGTAAATATATGTATAATAGCGATACTAGAGATAAAAAATATATAAGTTAATTAACATCGTGCGCGCTAGATGCTTTACGCGACAAATTCTCATTTTAATAGAACGAAACGAGGCAAATGAGAACGAAAATTGCTCCGACAGTATACCACTGTACGTGTTACCTGTACATGTTATGTACATATATATACATTGCTGTGTGTTAGCGAGGATAAAACGCGGGTAAAAATATAAAATTTATCTAAAACAAAAAACCTCCGTTTCTCTCATAATATGGCGCGTAATTAAGTCGCCTTTTACAAAGCTTCATCTGTGTCTCCTCGTGAGTTTAATCAACCTTGCGAGTTGATAATCTTCCCTCAAGAGGTGTAACCCTTTTTTTTCTCATTGAAGAGAGAGAAACGGAGCGTCGTTGCATCCATCCTCTTTTGCGTCTCTTTCGACGATAAGCCGTTGGCCGAGGATTTTGTCGAATAAAAAAGGTACTTAAACTCGCCCCCTTTTAGGGCGAGTAATGCGACGCAAAAATAACGTCCGTGATCTATTTTTACGAGCGTCGCCGAACGCGGAGCCGTAATCTTTCCATTCTGGCTCCCGGTTGACAGGCAATTCTTCAATTACAGGGACAAATGCGACGGTTGTCCTCCAAAATAAGTGTGAATATTATATGAATGAAATTTGTATAAAAAAAAGGTTAAAAGGAGAAAGATAAATCTCATTGATGTTAATATACAAGCGAAGAGGTTCAAACGCTAAAACGATGATGTAATCTGCTGCTTTTTTTTTAGAAAAATTGTTAAAATCGATTTAAAATTAATCAAGAATTAATTAATTCAAATTCAAAAAGCTTTTACAAAGCCTTTCAAATTCTAATGTTAAGGATTAGTTTAAGCGTATTATATCGGTAAGTATATATTTGCCATGTATACGGTGTCTTTTGCATAGATCTTAAATTCGTGGGTGACTTACTGGTGGCATTTGCGAGCACGCTTTTGCGAATCTGTGCTAGACATACCTCGTGGGCTACCTTTAAACAGAAGGATCTCTTTCATTATTACGCTTAACACGTCACGTGTCGAGAGGGGAGGGTGTTCTTTTTTTTTCTCTACTGAGAAAAAATAATCGGAAATAATGAAATTTCCTTCGAGGGTCTTTGTGCCGAGACAGCACGCGAATATCAGAAATTGGGTGATACGACATGATGGTGGAACAACCAACACGAAACACGGAACTTACCGGTGTGATATATGCAGACACAGTTACGTTTCGATATATGTTTCCATCAAATATTGCGCATGCATAATAATACATCTCGTGCCCCGAGGCGTTTTCCCGAAACGACGGTTTCATTATCAACGATCGCAGTTTATGAATATTGCAACTAACACATTGTACCTGTTCAACATGCTCTTTACAAATTTAAGGTTTTAGGGTTAATTATTTAAATATAAAATATATATAAAAATGTTTCATAGTTAACTCATTCTCATAGTTAACTCTCAGGTTGCATTCAATTCTTGAAAAACTGCAATTGTTCTTAAAAAATAATGTATATAAGTATGGCGAAAAATAATACATAAATTTTCACGGTAATATATCTATCGCATTAATTATTATCTATAAAATTTTTGACAGAACATTGCAGGAATAAACATTTATGAAACGTTTACGACATATTTAGGCGAAAAGCATTCAAAGAAAAATATCGTAAAAGTACTCTACTACTTATTAAATCTTTTCATATTAATTTCATATTAATCCGACTATAAGACCGATGAAAGAAGCAAAGATTCGATTTTCTCGTGTTTATCGCTGTAAGAAAAATGCCCACGAAAATTGCACGGCGCTAACGATGATTATATCTTATCCTAATTAAAATATCGACACGTTTCATTGGCAAAGTATCGGTTTCTTTGCGGTAAAAACGGTCACGTTTTGTTTCCCCATTAAATACATACATAAGTCGAGCTGATTGCTGTACTTTCAACGTTTCCACGCGGTGCACGACAACGCAATAGGAAGCTAGATGCCGGTCCGATAAACACGCGCATGCAAATTCCGCGCAATAACTCCTCCGCCCCCTCCTCCAACCGAGATTCCGTGCGGAGCAAGTTTTTCCCTTCCTCTTTCCGACAATCGCCTTTTTACATGGCCATCCAATTATCGCGCGTGACAAACGCGCGAAGAAAAACGGACCTGTCGCCGTCGAGCGGGTTTCGTCGCGCGAATTTCGTCCAAATCAAAAATTATGCTGTGGCATAATAACGCGGCGATAACAACTCGCTTGAAACGAGTTATTTAATCCTTCATTTGATCTTTCATACCGCTTAATATCCATCGTGCAAGTAACAATTTAATTTGTTAGATTGCAACGGCTTTATCCCATATAAAGTAAACGAATTTAGTAGACGAAGTAGATCAATTTTGCTTCAAATTTGAAAGGAATTTAAAACATGTTTCAAATTTTCCAGTCTTTTTAGACCCAATACTATTCTCCGGATTCCTGTAAATTACATGGCCAACTCGTTGCGAAACCGTCGATTCTCGTGAAAAAACCCCACGAACCACACATTTAAGCTTCTCTCATGCAGAGATTTATAAGCGTGGCGACTTACTGGTCTTCTTGTACAGTAGAATCTCGAATTGATCGTGAATCTGGCCCTCGAGGCACTCCTCGATCCTGGCGATCGTTTCTTTGTCCGTCAGCTCCCCGTACATGAATCCACAGCGGCATGACTTTTGCATAACCTGGAGATATATAAAATATCCATTATAATTTGCATTTATAGGACGTTAAGTGTGTGTGGAATACATACATATAATATACACTATTATGTAGATTATAAATTATGAGATGTGCCGGGTGTTTCTTAATAAGTGCGAAAAATTTTAGAAGATGATTTATCGAAAATTAAGGGGAGTTTTTCATATAAACATATACTTTTACATACCTTCTGTGAAATTACATTCCTCCAAAAATAGGAGTAAAAATTAGGTTTTTATTTTTTTCTCAAATATGGAACAAGTTAATGAAATGAAATTGGGTGGATATTTTCTACTAGTATCTAAAAAGGTTATTTATTAATATTTTTTCCAACCTTCCGTATTGTTATAAGGGGATGAAACTAGCAACCCCTATTCAATTTTTTATTAGAACTTTTTATATGAAAAAAGTTCCCCTCTTAATTTTCGACAAAGAATCATCTCCTAAAATTTTTCGCATTTATTAAGAAACAACCCTGTATATCCTTGGGAAGAAAAGAAGGGAAGCACGGATGATAAATGTGCGAGACGACCACGGGTGGTGGAAGATCGATTAATCTACTTCATAATTAGAACGATCTGCCTATTATTAATATGCACTTTGCGCTCGTTACGTATTAATAAAGAGCGTATCGTAAGTTACGATTGGACAGCGTGAAATTTCTAAGTGTTAATCATAGAAACGGCGTACCATATTCGAATCTTGTTCATTATAATAATCGATTTAGGCGCTCACGGAATGATCACGTGGGTGTAGATAATCAAGAATATAATTACTGTCGGAATTTTCGCGAATAAATTATCCTTGAAATATGTCTTTCTTCTTTTGTATTTCTTTAATCACTGAGATAATATACAAATTTATGTACCCACGAGCGAAAATTATAACGTTACAATCCATAATGCTTATGAGATTAAATGACGTAAACAGAAGCCATTGTGAATAAAGTGCTTCCTTAAAATAGCGATTTTATGGATCGATAACGTCGATAAAGGTTGACCCGATTTGCGTTATCAAATGCCGACGAAAGCGAGAAACGGTCGTTCGTGCAGGATATCGGGCATAGATGATACCATGTTTTTTGACTTCGAAACAGATTTATTAATCCCGTAGCGTTGACCTTTAAATCCCAATGGCTCGCGAGCGCAACAGGAACGAAATAACTTCGATCCCGGTTGAATTAAAATCGCGCCGCGTGGCGTGATTTTTTTTTAATTGGAATTTTGCAAAAATAACAAGGATAACATCGGGGATAAATATATAAAATATATAAAAATTAAAAAAAAAAAGGACAGCGTAAAGCTTCTGCATTTTATTCTCGCTCCATTGATCTCGGCAAGCTGCGACACTAAAGAGATTTACTTCAAATATCCGATGGCATTGAAATGCACACATCTCTCGCGCTTCAACATCTGCAGCATCTGCAATGAAAGGAGTAACGTAACAGCCGTATTTTCTGTGCTTTAAAATGTTAGCTGGACTTTTTCACGTGTGCACAGTGAAAAGAAAAATACCCCACTTTGAAACAGAAAAGTAGAAAAGCGCAAGCGCAATCTTGCTGACCGTTGCAAAAGCAGAAATAAGACTCAAAGAAAATTTGAAAATTTTATGCACGAAGGAATCCCGCAATTATGTGTACGATTACATTAAGCCGATTACGTCTTTGAGGTTGCTGAAAGCAATTGGATTAATGACATTTCCTTAATAATGCTGTAGAAACAAGTTAGACAAAAAACAAAAGGTCATAAGTATGCAGCGGATTTTTATTTCAGATTGACAAACGAAATTGTTACTTCTTAAAGAAATTCTCTGAAAATCTATCGAATCACAATCCTCGTCGTAATAATTATTTTACATTCAAATATTATATATTTATATTTTTATATATTTTATGGTAACATCTCAATCTTTCATTAAAAAATAAATATACATTATCGCAAAGAAAAACTCGAAGGAAAATGAAAATGCGCTGCATGTGTCCCTATCATTGTACCGCTTTTGTTCCTTATGCCACGCAAACCTTCCACGGAAGCATTCTCAATCCGGCTTTTAGTAATGGAGTTCGTAAATCCCAAATCCATGTGTCTTTCCGAACAATAGGATTTGGAACATTGGGTGTCTTACAGAAACGGGATAGTTACCGCTTCTCTACTGCAGCAACGCGTCGTTGCTTAATCGAGACGTTAGAACCGAATCGTGTCTGACAATGAGTCGAATAATCTAGTCGAATGAGATGTTTTTCATCTAAGTTCGAGGGGCAATTTTACATCTTGCATTGTTTGTCGTTACTTTACGAGCTACTTTAAGCATTACTTTACGTTACGTCGACGAAATTTCCTGTTTACTCGGATACATGATTTATCGTTATTAGACCGTTTTTCCAAGGAAATTTCTTCCGTTTTTCGAGTTACCATTACCTAGATATAAATACATCTACGTAAATAATTTAAATATATTCAAATGCATCTTTTAAAACGGCAAATATAATAATCATTCACAATCCGTAGATATATACATATATGTATGAAGAACGAGAGTAACTGAACTAAAAGATTTAAGATTGTAAATAATAAAATCCTATTTATATTTATGTACTTTATAGATACTTCATGTCGTATAAAATAGATTGTAATTTTCAAAAATAATAGATATTCGCAATAATATTTCGAATAAAAAAATCAATAATTAAATTATCAAATTTATTGAATATGCGCGATCGATCAAATCGACTTTGAATTCGATCCCGGGTTTGGCCGATGCGCGATATTATCTCCCGATATCTCTGGTTCTCGCACCTTACTAGCTAAAACTCTTATCCACAGCTATAAATCGATGTCGATGAATCAACCCTCGCTAGTCGTTAAATCCCGTTATCCATTCGCTACCTAGGCTATTCTCGCTCTAAATCGAGAAGAGTGGCAATGAATAAGCGAACCATTATTCATCATCAGATGCTACCGAACATATTCCTCGCAATATACGAAAATATACAATATCACAAACTTGTATCGATTCTTTAATCGGGGAAACCTGAAAAATATGCAACGCGTAGAAAAAATATGTAACAAAGCATGAAATCTTACGTGCAGTCGATTTTTAAATATAGCTCGAGATTATTCAAACCAGAACTGAAAGAACAATAATACACTTTTACTCTCGATGTAATATATCTAAAACTTTCGAAAAATATTTCGTAAAAAATGTGTTGCGGTTGAACGAAATAAATATAACAATATATTTTTAATAATATTCGTGAAACATGTAAATTAGGCAATTCCTCTGCTTATGTATTTGATTTGTCGGAGAAAATCAATAATGAATAATTCAAATTCGGCTAATTGGCAATCTATTGTATCTAATAGATTAATTAACAAATTGAATATATATGTGACGCTTGTGATACGGCACTAACTAATAAATTAATTAACTAATTAATATACACAGCATAGGAGAGAGATACATCTTATGCATTATGCGTCGTCTAAATATAGCTCTACGAAGGCAATAATATTGGCAGGAAAATTGAATAAGAACTTGAGAGAAATCAAATGTGTGTTGTATTAAATAAGGTATTCGTACCTCGGCACGATTGTAGCCGGAGATCTTGACGAAGCTCTCGTTGCAATAGACGATCGGGAAGTCGACGATCTGGGCATTTGCCAGTAGGAAGCTGCTGTCGGCTGTGGACAGAAAGCAAAGAAAAAGAAGACATTATTCTCTCTTGCATAAAACGTGACAGTAGCGAAAATATGCATTCCCCTTCAAATTTCTCTCTCCTCTCCTTCTCTCTGTCTTCTTCGCATCATCAACGCCTTTTGTTCATGGTTTCATTCGTATTATACAACTTTTCAAGAAAAAGAAAGAAAGAGAGAAAAAATAAGTGGCGTCTCTTTTATATATTCCAATCCTCCAAACTGCAGCTTGCATATCGATGCACATTTATTTATTTACACATCAATTGTTATAAATCTAAATTTTATCTATCATTTATCTATTTATTTTTATTCATTTATCAATTATAAATACAATGTTGCATGTTTCTTCAGCGGAGAACGCGATGTTTATTTACTTAACATTAAATCATAAATTATTGTCCGATGCGCGATGTAATTAAGAGAAAGCATTTTTGCTACATAAATCATGATTACGTAACGTGCGTACGATAAATAAAAATAAATATAAAAACTACGTATTACATAGCAACAACGAGAAATAGCGACGGTGGAGTAGTAATAATCAATGTCTATCTCGTATAAATCTACGTTACTCAGCTAATGGGTACCTCGGAAGTTTTTTAACGTGAGCTAAAGTTCATTTAGAGTTTCCCGATAAATTACAAGCGAGGGAATTAAACAAGAGACAGCGCGCGCGCTTGGTGGGATGCTTATAACGCGTAGTTTCGCGAAAGCGGAACAAAAAGGGTGCAAGGTGAGCCACGCCTTACCGTGGTTATCCAATTAGTCGCCGAATTTAATTAGCGTTCAACGAGCGCCGATTTGCTTGATGAGGCCAAAGTAAGAGCCTCGATCGGAGCGCTATCCTTTTAAAATGAATTTCCTGTCGAGGGGAAAATCTCTCACTTTATCCCGTGCGAAAGACACATGTACAAGCATCGTCGATGACGCGATCGTATAATTGATCATCGGCTTGGCACAAATTATAATGGCTCGTTAAAGTGCCCCGGCACGTAACGGACCTTCGCATTACCATATAACAATCACGATTGTTATTATTATGCGCGATAAACACTATCGCGATTGACACGCAAAATCCGCAAATGACCGATATAATATTATGTATATTCGTCTCGATTTCTTTCTCCCTCGCAAACACCGAGATTTGGCTCACGAAATTGATTCATAAAATCTAAAAGCATCGCGTCTCCCCGCCGTAATGTTGAAAAGAATTCGCAAAGATGCCGAGATGCGGGGAGGACGTACAATCATTATTCAGTCGACTTCGTTTACCAGGCGTCTTTTAAATCGTAAACGAAGACGTCTGAAAATTCACGTTGCAAAGCACAATTCGCATGCTCGTTCGCTAACAACCGTCGACGTCGTCGCGATTCCACGACAAAGAATGACAGTCGAACACACAGGAGCGAAAGCTTCATTTTTATAACTCAGCATTTTTACATGTCAGCGAACATTGAAATAAAATCACGCTCGCGGGAGCTGAAAAATGTGCTTTTTTCCATTTTCTGACAAACTATTAATCGTAGGTACCCCAGTTATAACGTCGATACAAAAATTCGCAATCGTCTGCCGGATTAATTGTGCGTGTAATATAAAAAAAACTGAGGAATAATTATTAAAATTAATTAAACAACTTTTGTAGAAATAGAATAAATAATTAATTTAATTAATGCTCAAACTATATAAGACGACTTAAACTTGCTATTAAGAAAATACGGCGGGACCTTAACGTAAGCGATTATAATAAAAAAAACAAGAAAAGAGAACGTTTCTCGTTGATTTTTAATGAACATCGCATGCCGAGCCTCGACGAAATAGCCCGGTTAAGTAATATGAATCCGAATCCGAGAGTACCATGGCCGTATTTCTGTCCGTCGTTCCTATTCTTTCTCGAGTTCCAACACAGAGAGTCGGATGCACTCTTCCGAGCGTATGATCTCTGAAGTGGATCCTGTTGCATTCAACACGTTGTGGAATAGTATATGTACGATCCCCTTTTATATGTGTGTGTGTGTGTGTGTGTGTGTACATGGAATATGTATATGTGTATACATACATGTACCGGGTGTATCTGTAACTCTCGCAGCACGAGCCGGTCGTCGGCACGGAGGCTTTCAACGACTCTACGGAGAGCTTTCGAGGGGACACTCGATCAAAAGTGCCTCCTTGTAACATCGACCTCTTCCTCTCTTCCCTGCATATCCCGTCCTCCTATTTTTCCCCTAAGCCTTCTCTTCGTCGTCGTCGGAACGAGAATTCCCAACGAGACTTAGTTAGTGTGTGAACTTTATGCGACAACAATCTACACGACAACATCTTCACATTATGGTTGTTTGATGTACAATATGTGATTTGTACAAAGGTACAAATTCATAATATCATTGATATCGCGAGAGGAACATGTAACGATATCAAGGGAAAAAAATCTATTTGTAGTTTATATATTATTGTAATCGCAGAGAATATATATTTTCCAGAATTGGAAATTATTCGTTTATCAAATGTATGTATGAAACATACTTATCAATTATAAAAATCATTTTACTTTTCGACCACATTTAATTCGGACTAAGAACGTGCAATAAAATCGCAATCGAATCACGGATTTGAATAATTAGCACGATAAATGACTTCGTGATATATTAATTAAAATTTATGTAATTTTCACAAATTAATTCTTTATTATTCAAACATACGACGTTTCTTTATTATTCAAATATACGACAAAATAATAAAGGTTATTTAGTAATGTAATGAATCTTGACTCTGATAGAATGTTTTCACTTTCTCTCGTTTCTCTCTTTCAAATTTAACTAATATTTTTTAACATGTACTAGTTTCTTGCATTCTTTATCTACCTTCAATATCGACCCTCTTTATTGAAATTTTTGTATGTACTTTTTATTTTTTGCTTCGTTTTTTCATAATTTTCTTTTTCGTTTTACTTTTGTTTTTTGTTTTCCTTTCAAACACCTTTGTTTCACTCAAACCGTTAATTTGATTACAGTTATACTTGAAAAGGACCACAACCAAATGGTCGAAACATCATATGTTTGAATAATAAAGAATTAATTTGTGCTAGTTGAGTCGTTTCTACATATGATTATTTATACCTTAAAATACTTGTATATTTATATATATAATAGGTGGCATTAGGTGTAAGGTCTGGATAGCTCAGTGATCTAGAGCAGTTGTCCGGAAAGCGAAAGAGTCAGGTTCAATTCCCGATCCAGCCACTTGCACCTCACATATTTTTCCACGAATATTGTTTCTAACAATTATTCGTTGGGCTGAAGAATGTGTATGGTCTCTTCAGGATATACGTCGATGACGTTATCACGCATGGATTATATCGCCCATTGAAAAAAATGGGCGTACAGATACGTCTGACCTCCTCCCATTCCCCGTACATTCCTATCTTTACTGGAGTGAACTTATACATACAAGTGAACTTCATTTGCCTCTATTCTGTATCATTTACATTCCCGACCTGTTGGTTCGAAGTTAATTCTTCTAAGTGAAAGAGGTCGCTCCTGTTAAAACTGACAGTGTCGTTCAAAATATATATATATTTAAATATATACATCACGCGACTAAATAGAATATTTTTGATCAAAATAGTGCAGGAATCGTTCAGAATCGTACATAATAACAATAAAAATATCGCTTAAACACGGCCGTATCGCGCCTAAGACTGATCTGAAAGAAAGAAAAGCTCTAGGAGAAGCATCCTGTACTAGAGCAATCTGATGGTTGAATATTATTTTTTATATTAATTATTATGTATAAATAATCACGTACATGTATAAATTTGGTTCATTTATTTGAATGATTTAAACAAGAAAAAATGAGAATACTTAAAAATATTTAACTATTTATAAAATTATTTTCATAATTATATATTTATTTATAATTATATTTATTTATAATTACGCATAAAATTCAATATATAAAAACAATCTCTTAAAATATTAATTATTTTAAGTTATAATTTGGATTTTATATTTGTATGTTACAAACAACGCTTTAGCTTTTTAATTAACAATTCCGCTGTTGCACTTCAGTACCGGTGAGTATGCATGCTAATTATATCATATGCATGATAATTTGTATTTTGTACGTTTGACGAATAAATTCAGACGTGCACATCTGAAAACCGATTTATTTACGATCGTACGATTGTCTTATCTGCCGGCGATAATAATTAGTCGGCCGTCGAAATTAAATCGCGCGGTTAGGACTCTCTAAATCTCGTGATAGCGAATTCCTGGTATATATTTGCGGATTTCCGATTAGAGTTCCCAAATCAGGAGTTTTTATTGGCGTAACTAAGTAGGGCGGTTAAGTAGGGCATTTAGATTTATTAGGATTATTAGGGCGATTAGATAGGGCAACTACACTGAAAAAAATCGTTTGATTGTACCAACAAGACGTATATGATTAAAGGCATTTTGGTTAAATCAAACAAGAATTTCTAGTTCATGATAAGACTCGATTTTTTATAACTAGAATGTTTAATAGATTTTACTATAAGGATTTGGTTAGTAAAGAGTTGGTTTTCTGATGAATCTATAAAATTTCTTGTTACATTAATTTCTTTGCTTGTCGCTAGGCAGCGAGTCACTTTTAACTTAACTCGTATTCAATATTTGGCATGAAATGTATATAAAGAACTAGTATTAATATTAAATCTAAAGTATATTTTTTTTTCTTACGAGCAGCAGTGCCAGAAAGAGGACGCTAGCTCTCTGATTGTGTGAGTTTGAGCTGCATCCTCTTCTTGCATCACTGTTTATCAGTTTAATTTCTAACAAACTGAATTTAAAATAATTTATTCAATAATCTGGATTGAATTTATCCAATAATCTTGTTGGAATTCAGAATATTAAATAGACTTTTGAGATTAGATGGAAAAAATTTTAAATGACTTGGTGCTGACGAGTTTAGTATTATTAACCAGAAATTTTGATAAATTTAACAGGAAG